TTAACTATAAAAAGGCGTTTGAATCGCTCGATCTTTTTGCCAAATATATATCTTTTTGCCAAATAAAAATTATATTTTCTTCATCATTGTATATTTATTTTAAAATTTAAAAAAATATTTTGTTCTACATCTTAATAAAAAGTAAATAATTATTGATGGAAGTTATTCGACTGTTCTACATATCATGGGTGATAAATAATTACAGTTTAAAAAATTCTATAGAGTAAATAGACTTAAACTCACAGATTAAAAATAACATTAAGAATAAATTCAGGATAAAATAAAAAATGGGCTTGTCATACATAACATTTATAATAAATTAATAAATGCATAGTATTTTCGAAAAACTTGATAAATAATTAATTTGTTTGTGCTAGGATTTCCATTGGCGAGAATTCCCTGATTTATTTTTCTTAACAATCTAATTCTCGTAGTTACATTAATTTAAAAAAGATAAAATTTGATTTATTTATATTAAATTTTTGTTTTGATTTTTTAAACTAATTTTTATGTTATTGATTTATATATATATATATATATATATATATATATATATATATATATATATATATATATATATATATATATATATTTATATATATATACTTTTAATATACAGGGTGTTTCGTAATTCCCACGCACTATTTTAGGTATATGTTCACTAACACAAAATAAGCAAAAAAGTTCATATTAACATATATCTCAAATTCATTTATTAAACAGATATCAAAGGTTAATGATTTATTGTTTATTTAGTACATTAAGACTGACTGTACGAAGTTTAACGTGTTTAATACTATATAACAGGTTTTAATCGCCTGATAAACAAATGAAGGATAAGCAATGACAGTAGTTGCTCATCTGTTTGTCTGTGTGTTTTAGTGTGAGTGAATACTGTGACACATTTCAATTTATGATAATCATGGGAGACACCATAAATTTATTCACTTTTGCAGAACAAACAGACATGCTTTTAACTTTTGGCGGATTACATACCCTAAATGTTGTAATAAAAATAAATAATAAATTTTTAACCTTTGATATCTTTTTGATAAATGAGTTTGAGATATATGTTAATATGAATTTTTTTTGTTTATTTTATGTTATTGAACACATACCTAAAATATTGGTAATATCGCAATTACGAAACACCCTGTATATAAAGGTGATTGAGTACAGGTGATATTGAAACAATTTTCTGGTCGCATTTTCTGATGAAAGTTCAATAAAAAAATTAATAAAAAGTCACCAGGACTCGAAGAAAATTTTTTTATCGTTCTCTTTATCGAATCGCGAAAGTGTCGAATCATGACGAAGGAGACCTGGAGTGAAATCGGGCTATAAAACCCAGCTTCCAGTGCCATTGCTACTCTGCCATGTGTTCCCTTAAAACAGCTGATAGATATATAAAAAGTATTAAAGTTATACATAAAATCGAAGCCAGAATGAAACTTTTATCATAAGAATAAAACCTTTTACTGTAAAATAAAATAAATTTGCTGACTATTAACCGACCGCTGGAGACATACTAGACAATATTTTCACATATCTTATTAGTATTAAGTTTGAGGCAATTATGGAACTAATTATGTTATTAATTGTCGAGATAAAATTATTATAACTTAAAGAAAATTGGTATTAGGTCAGAGAACAAGCTGTGTACGACATATCACAGTAGTAATACAGTTACCATTTTACTTCGATGCATATTTTACATTTCAATACAATTTACTATTTCCTCATGGAGTTTCCCCTTAACAGATCTCCTCAGTGGAATAGTCCAGGATTTATCGTGACATGTTTCTGCTAAAGGATACTGAAATTCTTAACTGCGTGTTATTACCAATGGAAAGTGAATTGTATGTGCTCTGTAAAATATATTTGTACAAAAAAAAACACCTGTACCCCACTACAACCCATGAAGGGTCTTGGGTTCAGTACTATTTAGGAAAAGCACTGTTTCTAGGTCAACGGTTGTGCAAGGAGGTGATTTGACCGAGATCAAGCTCAACCACAAGGTTTTCTCCCTTAATTAATTATATAATTAAAGGTACACACGTTATAGAGGCTGGGTGTGCCCCAGGAGGGTCTCCCGACCCATTGTCGCCCCACGGCCAATGAAACAGATAAATAAATTATTTTTCATGAGCCGGGGTTTGAACCTGGGACCTTTAGCGTTGGAAGCTCAAAATATATTAGTATACCAATTTTAATTTTTTTTAACGTTCCAGTATCATTTTAGTTTATCTCATTTATTTTTTTAAGAGAAACGTCTTAATAACTCTTGTTTAATAAAGTATGTAAAATTTGTATTAAGTAAGTAATAGCTAATATAAATTGCCTAACAAAACTGAACAAAATTTACTTTCATTCATTCATTTGTTTTTTCAATAAATTAATCTCATGGGTTAATATTACCAGTTACTTTTGTGTACACAGGGTAAGTAGAGAGAAATAAAAGGGTGTATAAAAAAAAAAAAAAAGACCGTTATATCAAATTTAAGATTTCAAAGGACTGTAAATATTTTAATCCTATTTTATACTTACCAATACTTAATAATACCTTTAGACCATTCTTTAAACTTGTTTAATCCCATCCGACTTCTTCAAAAAAAAGCCTCAGTTTAGTTATTTGTTTCAAAGAAGGAACATGACCGTGTCCTACGAAATTCTCGTAATTTTAAGATAATATTGGGAAAAAATTTCACAGTCACTGAAGTATCACGTGAAATTATTAAATATGAAAGGAAAGGTGCCCTTGACCAGCGCACTGTGCGGAAGATTTATTTAGCTGCGTGCAGGTAAACGGAAAGAAATAGCCCAAGACAGGCAGAGGTGGTTCAGGCGGTGGTGTTAAGGCGGAAAAAGATCAACATAGTCTGTCATGCCAACAAAAAAAAATTTGGTATTTATTTTAATCCTCCATTTTTGACACCATTTTTCAAGATTTAAAAAAAAAAAAAAAAGGAGTAATTATTTTTCAAATATTGAAGTAAATTTTAACTAACAAACAGTAAATCAATTGTTAATTACTTATGACATATTTCTTTATATATCGCTTCAAAATTCAACAAAAAACATGACTTGCTTTTAAAAAACACAAAACTTAAATTTCCTACTTTTCTGTCGAAAATCAGACGAATGTTCACGTTAGCTTTTTATGTTGCTCTCAAGGTCTGCTATCATTCCTATTTTCCTCTACTTACGGAAAACTCTGTATAAAAAAGATATAAATAGACATAGCTCTCTCAAATTAGTTATTAACAATCACCTCAGCTGAAAAAATTAGTATCATGCATTTGCCTTTAAGCTAAAAAAAGTTATATATTGTAGTATCTTTATCGTGTTTCTACACACGTAACCTAAGTTGTTCTTTGATGTAGAAAACGTAAAACGAGATTGAAAATTTTGGATCCAGATTAAAAAAAAAAAATTAATCTCTCGTTGAAATACAAAGCTTTCCTACCTTTGAGAGTGAGGTAGTAGAATGAATATACTAATAAAAATCACTAATACTATAATCCAAGAGGAAATCTAATTCTTTGTTCAATATAAGTGTGAAGAAATAACGAGTAATACACCTAAAATACAAGAAAGATAAAAGATAAATTTCTTCACCTAACACCAATTTGAATGAAATTAGGTTTTTTCCCCCGAGAAATCCCCCTCCCCCAGCCGTCACCCGACCCTGCTGGCTAACGAACTTAACCTAGGCTTTAATTGATTAGTCGACATTTTTTATTTTTCATTCATAAATTTATTGATTTCTTTTCTTGACCCAACTTAATGGATTAACTCCGGGGATATATTTTAAAAATATATTCTCTATCTTGTCATTATAAATCTCTATGGTTTAAAATGTATTTCGTGTTACCAACCCACTGTGTTTAAAATAGGTTTTGTTGTATCTCTACAAATACAAATACGCTCCTCTAACCTGGTATTCCACAATCGGTGAGTTTGGGGGGAAATTGAAAAACGAATAAGTAGTTTCCATTTACACAACAAATTGAGTAAATAAAAAATATGTATTCTTCCATGCCTTATGTTTTCATATTTTCCTATTGGACGCATATAACTGTCCTTAACCTACTCCACAAGATCTGTGCTTCATTTTCTGTCATGTTGATAATTATTTACAGTTTTCGGAGGTCACTGTTTAAATTTCCCGCCATTTAGTTTTTGGTCTTCCTCTCGAACGCACTCCATCTAGATCGTGCATGTACTCCCATCTAGATGTCTTTTGGATGCTCTTTTGTCATCCATCCTGTGTACATGGCCATTTAAGACGCTGACCTTTTACGAACATGGATGCTGTAACCTCACGATAAAGCTGATATCTTGCCTTGATAAACGCCTATGTCTCACATCCGTATGTTATTACAGGTATATTAACCGTCTTGTTGTATTGCCTTATCTTAGAGGTCCTGCTCAGCAACCTACTTAGATCAAAGTATGTTTTATTTCCTGCAACTAATCTAGCTCTAACAAACTCATCTTTATTGATAAGAGATCCGAGGTAACTGAAATTGTTGACATCTTCAATGGTGTAATCGCTGATGATACATACTTTGAGGGAGCACGAGTTTTTTTTCGCCTTTTTTATCAAGCTAAATCTTTTATTGTTCAGTTGTCTATTAAATTTTTATTATTAAATTCTTTAGTGACAGTGTATCGATACTATTAATAAAGTAAATAAAGATAAAATTACTATTAAATTGAAATTATCATTAGATTATAAAAAAATAATGCCTTACTATTGGACCCTGTTATTAAGTGGAGCTCGGACGGCCCATCTTCACTACTCCCATCTTTCCAAGTACGCCATTGTCTAGTTACACTGAACAAGAACTAGATCATTACTTGAGAATTTCAAGACCTCTCGCCTGTCATAGAACCCTGATGACACGTTCAAGAGAACCTGCAGTAGGCGTCAGTTAACTGGTTGCCCACACGCAATTAGCGGGGGTCACTAAACCTGAGGCAGAATACCTGCCGCCATGCTGCCTCTTGGTTCACGATCTAAGTGGATATGGACAGCTCGTATAGCATTATCATCTTTTAAAATTGGATTTTCTACTTTTAGTTTTTCGTTTCGGAGATACTTTTTTTTAATGCATTAAGACATTACATTTTTATTTTACTCAAAAAAATTGTTTAAGGCAGATTACGGTTACTAGGAAACTTGACAAGTTGAACGCTTAGAAAAAAAAAATGGACTGTCTCCAAAACTCAGCCAATATCATCATATAGAGTATATAAAATAATAATAAAGTGATGAGCTACAAATTAAAATATATACTTTTAATTAGCTAATTGGAGTAATGGCGACCCGGAATCCAATTGTATATTCATGATAAATGCTCTAATTGAGGATAATAAGGTATTCTATGTAAATAATAATCCATTGAGCTGGATTGTGTTGCACAGCATGATATTGGCCATATAGTGCTGAATATAATCTTTAAACATGGAGCAAATAATTATTAAGTGGTTTTCAGGCATTTTAGAATTTTTTATGGAACACTCTTCTATTGGTTTAATTATATTATAATGTTATTTCAAATGGTTGTAGAATGCTATTTTAATTATATATAAACTTAGAAGTCTCAATTAAGCTTATCTTTTTTTTATTTGAAAGCAGTATCTGTTATTTATATATGCTATAGAATGCTACCAATTGCTAATGTCTCTATAAGCCTGCTCTTATCATCTTCACATTCACGATATATATTTTTATTTAATAGAGTTGTAAATTGCATGTATAAAATATGGTGCGATATCAGAATTATATTTTATTGTAAGCTGGGTTAAACTTCCAAACTTGTGTTGTAAAACTAGGTTATGTAATACTGTTAAAATTTATCTAATACTTTGATTATTAATCTTTTAAATACTTTAGGATCTAGTTTGGTTAACATTTTTTGTTTAACTTTTTCGGAGAACCATTAGTCCAAGTCTATGTTGAATGTTGAAGTGATATTCGTTTATTTTAAAAAACTAAAAATTATCACAGAATGGTTTATTGTTTCTAAACATTTATGTATCAAAGTATAACACTACCTTCCTTTTCACATCACCAAGTTTTAAAATCGGTACATCGCGTTTGGCGATACAGTTTGTACGACCTATGTCTTTCGGCTGCCATATTGAAAGAAAGGGGCAGATAGTAATCAAAACGATTGGTCCAGTATCTGGGAGAAAAGTAACAGAAGAATATATTTTATTTGATTTTTGGATTCTACGTATCTTGAAACGTAAAAACCTCAAATTTTGAAGAAGCTTAACTTTTTTTTTTTTCTTGATCAATGTCAAACGTTGATTATTTAAAAAAAAAACTTAGGTAACCTGTCATCCATATTGTTGCCCAAATGCTAGACCAAGACGAGTCTTGGTCTTGCGCAAGAGTTTCGCAACAGTCTTGCAGTTACCTATTAGCTTATTACTATAGAGATATCACTGTAATTGTTTAGATAGGAAACCTAACTAAGCCCGAATGAAAAATTAGAGGAGTTAAATACAAACGTATCTTGGTTATACCAATTATTAACATATAGTAACGAAAATTGTCAAGTATTAGTAACTATTTTGCCTTAGTTTTTATTTAAAAAATCGATTTTTTTTTAATAGTCTTGGTCTTGGTCTTGCAACAGTTAGGCGGCCTTGGTCTCGGTCTTGCAAAGTGCAATACCAAGACCGATTTTGGGCAACACTAGTTATCGGCCATAAGTTTTTTTTTTTTTTTTATTATTATTAAACACTTTATTCAGAAATATTACAATTTGTCACAGTTTAAGAACACTTATAATAGAGTTCAGAGATTGCATTCATACCGTATATACAAAAATATAAATAAATAAAGTAATAACAAAAGAATAAGAAAAAAGAACAAAAGAGTAAGGAAAAAAAGAAAATATATATATACACATAAGTAAATAAAAATAGAAATAAAAGTAAAACAAACACCTTATATAAAACATACCTATATACATTATTTAAAATTTGCCAGGTGATCTCCGAACCAATCCTGTCCCCTCCACATGTGGAGGGAAAAAGGAGGCTTAGGAGATCCCTACGCTTCTCCCTCAACCACTTCACTGGTATTTTAAACCAGCGGAGGATGAGTAAGAGCGCTACAGCCACAGACACTCATGACTTGAGTGGAGAATCTGGCCATTGCTAGAACTCCAAAATATCCATATTTACAAAAGGTCTCGTGGCCACTGCCGCTTTAATCTACGAAGGGGATTGTAGGGATGGGTGGTGCTTGATAGGCCATAAGTAGATTTTTTTAATCCATTTAAGAATTTCGTAGCGTTATTGATTTATTGTTGAATGTTATTGATTATAGTTGTAGGTGAATTAGTATTGTTGAGGGTCAGCCATTCCTTCCTCTTGGACCATTACCTGAGGACTTCTTTAGGAAGTGGTCGCGAGGAGGGGGGGGGGCAGACTGAACCCCCCTCAATTACAACAAGATTCCTTAAAGGTCGGTAGTGCTGCCCGGACCAACTCGCAATCCCACCTGTTATGTCCCCGGCCTAACTGTTAGCTTTTACAACCTTGTTTATCTTCTTGTCTCCTGGCTACTCTGCACAGGTTATTGCTTCTACTAGCGTGCTTTATTTTATATTTTATAGCTGTGAATTATTTACGATAGGTTAACGTCCTCAAGATCATGCTAAGTTATTAAACTATGTTCTATTCCCTCTTTGAGAACCTCGAACGTTCTATACAACGATGTATAAAACTGGTCACGATACCATTAATTTAATTAATAAATACCAGAGTTACAATAAACTAATATTTTTGTTGTACCATGTGCAGTTCTAAAATATTATTTTTTTTTTAACTTTATTCATTGAGTATTACAATAATCTGTCTCTTGGACATTAGTTATAGTGAGGTAGGATAACATTCACACTAAATGTACAAGAAATATAAAATAAATAGAAGCAAAATAATAATCAAAAGTATATACAATTAATAATAAAATGAAATAACCTAAAAATAAGAAAATTAAAACTGAGCAAAAAACACATGCATACCTATATACAATCAGCGAGGGAACTCCAGGAGAACCCTGCGCTACTCTCTCAACCGCATCACTTGTACTGAAGCCAGCAGCGATTGATTGAGAGTAAAATATTAATATTATTAAATTAAAAACTTTTTTTATTTTATTTATATGATATTTACAACTGTATAAAAAAAAATGCATCTAGTAACTTCGCACATGGATATAATGACATGAAACACATGTTGAGAAACTACCCATTGGTAGCACTCTGATAAGATGTCTATATTAAGAGATCACGTGGCCATCTTCTTTTCAGACGCCTCGGAGGGTTATCAGGAATTGAATAGTAAGCAAGGTTAGAAACAAGAGGGTTGGGATGGTTATGAACTTTATTATGGAAGGACAGATAACTGGATTGGGCCAAATCTGATACATAAGGAACATTAAGGTCATTGTGGATGATTTTACTTGTAACAAAGTAAGGAGCATTGAGGATTTTACGAAGGATTTTGGACTGTAAGGATTGGATACGAGAGGAATTTGAAGGTTTGATGGAGCCCCATAGCTCAACTCCGTAAGTCCAAATAGGCCTTATTATAGTCATGTATATGAGTCTTTTGTAATTAATTGGAATGTTAGAGCGTTTGTCTAGTAAGTGTTGAAGTAGTCGGAAACGTCGAGCGGTTTCTTGTCGTTTCAGTCTGGTATGAGGATTCCAAGTTAGACGTTTGTCCAGGTTGAGCCCTAGGAAATAAAAAACTAAAACTAAAAACGGTTGAAAATATTATTAACTTTCTTTTTACTCGTTAAATCGAGGCTTTTAATAGTTTAAGATCATTTTCTGACAATTCCGACCATTTATCAAAAAATCACGTTTGAGTTGGTCCAATAGCTTCGAGGCTAGAACTTATTTTTAAAATTTATATTATATCTGAATACTCTATTATAAAGATTAATAATCCATTTATATTACTTATTTTAACGCTCTATTTTTTAATGGAGTCAACCATAGGCATTGGAAAAGTATATTTAAAACTGAACTAGAGATTTTTTTTTTATATTTTTAAAACCCATATGTTAAAGTAAAAAAAAAAAAAATCCTTTTTTCTCTACCATAGATGAGAAAATACTACCCGCTGGTGCTGTTCTCTGAAATTCACCACCGTATAAATAGCAGTGGGATAAAACTTTTCGTTCCTGTTAGGGCTTAACGATTGAATATATGCATATTGTCTATATATATTATATATATATATATGTGTGTGTGTGTGTGTGTGAGTTTTGTGTGAATATGTAATCATTGAACCATAGCGCCATCGGATGATGATGATGATGTACACATACTTATATTATATTTTTAAAAAACACAGAAATATTTAACACAGTCTTGATTTAAAATATATTGGTATGCTTTGTTATAATTTAGATTATCGTAAATAATTTAAATGTCTCTATTTTTTTTCTTTATTATTTATATAAATATGTGTTATTGCTCCTCTTAAAAATTGTATAGTATCGGGGATACTCCTAACCTTAATTGTAATCAAGGAAAAACTGGTCAGGGTACGCTCATGAAAGAACGCCTAACATTTAAATTACTTTAATTAGAGAAATTATTAGGTCGGAGACATTAAGCGATTTCACATTCTTTAATTTTTCTCTAACTCCTTTATAGTTGTTCCTCATTTACCGTAACATTTTTTATATTATTTCTATCTTTCATCCTTATATTTTATGTAAACCTACGGCTTTCTTCACATCTACATTATATGCTCACTTCCTATTGCCTTAGGTAACTTTCATTTCTTTTTCCTTGTATACGAGTATTCTGTTATAGTTTTCAAATCTATTTGTTTTCATTAACTCCTCATTAGTTCAACATTTTTCATATTTCACGTCATCGAAATTTTCTGTTTCATTCTTTCTACTTATACTATTAAATTGTTTCATATTCTCCCATGTATATTATCCATATACAATATACAATAATACTTTACCTATAATTATTCATCGTTTCTTTTATTTGATCATGTTCTAACCCTGTAGAAGGCCGAAACTTCAAAGGTTGAAGGGAATCTAAAAAATGTTCGATATAATTTATTCGGTTGCAGATCGTTTGCTGTGCGGTATGGTATAATTGATGCGCCTTCCAGTATTAAGATAGTTTTCGTAACTATTTGTGCACTACAATTTTACACATATATTTTAGGCTCTATATGCAATTATATCTATAATTATTTAAATATGAATATAATATCAGGTAAACATCTACGAAATGAGACTTATACGATATAATTTTAGTTCATTATGCATAACAATCAGAAATTAAAATTATGCCTAACTTGTTCAAATAGTTGAATTTGTATAATCTTATACCTTTACCAGGCTAGAAAGAGTGTGATCATTTTATTTTAGTCGACGAATAAGTAAAATTTATTTTTAAAAAGTTAATATAAAACAATGTAATATGTATAAAAAAAACTGTACTTCCACAACTTATGAAGGATTTTGGATTCAGTACTTTGTTAGGAAGTACTGTTTCAAGGCCAACCCGAGGTGATCGGGCCAGAATCACGCTTCACCACCAAATTTTACCCAGAATTAATTATTTAACCCACTTTTAGAGGCTGCGTGTGCTCCAAGAGGGCTGATAAAAAATTACCTTACATCAGCCGGATTTGAACCTGAGACCCTGAGCTTAGAGAATCAGTGCCTAACTCGCTGTGCAACTCCGCTCCCTATTATACATAATATGTGTTATATTTTTTTATCGCATCCCCATCTTTCAGTATATCTAAAATTAAATTTAAATATCCTCCTTTATTTATTTCCTTTAATATTCATATATGTTCTTTATTATTGTTCAAAGTTGATTTTTCTCCCCTTGATCCGTTTCGTTTGTTTCTATAATATATACGCCTATCTCTTCCTTTCATTTTGTTCACAATAATCTTCCCATATAACTAATAACTATAATTCATAAAGTATAATCATGATTGCAGGGGGGAAAAAATCATCCTCTTTGTGGATTTCCTTTTAAAATTCAAAACCACAATCTTATTGTTTCAGGTTATCCCCAACCGCAGTACAAATATTTAAAAGATGGAGAAGAACTTGGAGATTTCACGACGGAACATTTCTACAAGATCATCAACACGAGGAGAGAAGATGGCGGTGCGTACCAATGCCTGGCAAAGAACGACGTGGGAGCCATCCTCAGCAAGAAGATTGACATCGTCGTGGCTTGTATGTACACGTCTTGTATTTTTATGTTTATGCATTTATTTTTAACGAAAGTTTAAAGCGAACCTAAAAAATCTTCGGTGTAACTTAAGATACTATTTCGCTGGTACTACCCACAACAGAGTTTATGCTTGTGTATTTCTCTGAAACTGCTCACCGTGTCGGTTGCATAATAAGGTTAGGCTATGTCTGTACTATACAATGTTTACCAGCCTTTCCAACTTCTACAAAGTGATGTTTTCTTGTAATATTTTGAATAGAAAATATCGGCATTATATTATAAAGAATGTAAAAAATATTATTTTAAAAATTGATGATTTATCTTTTATTTAAAATTTATTGCTTATTTAATTACGATCACTTAGAAATAAATATCATCAATGTTTTATACTAAAGTAATTAATAAATTAGCATTTTAATTAAAAAAGACACATTGATTTTTTAATGGTCGGATTTGAGTATTTACTTAATAATATTAGTTTCTGAATTATTGAAGGAAGTTAGTCGACTGTTTTCTATATCATAGGTCATAAATATTCAGGACGCAGTCTTTTTTTAAATTTTATTTTTTATGTTTTATTTATGCCAACGTTTCAACCCAAACATGTGGGTCATCTCCAAGAGAGTGCTCAAACCACGCCCTGAAGATGACCCACATGTTTGGGTTGAAACGTTGGCATAAATAAAAAATTTAAATTAAAAAAAAAAAAGACTGCGTTCTGAATATTTATCACCCATAATATTAGTTTCTCATTGTTTAATTTATTTAATGCTAGTACAATTTAGGTAAATTTGAATTAGTATATAAAATACTCTTGTTACTTCAAACCTACAAAAATTATTTGTTATAGTTGAATTTAAAAAATCTTTGTTTGAATTAAAAAAAATCTTTTAATTTTGTTTGGCTTCATGGAAACAAAGGAAATGAAACGTAGCAACATAAATATTATTATCAAAACTCTTCTTCAGTTTGATAACATCACCTAGAACCGCCGCACTACCTACAGTTTCGGCTGTTTCACGAGTGGTCAGAAAGAAGACGTCTGGAAATGACGTCATGCCTAGACTGCCGAGCAGTGGCATCGAAATATGCTCCTTTCTATTCCACGAAATCAGTGTCCAACTGCCAGCAGTCGCTGCAGTGGGCAGTACCGACGAAATAGATCCTTTGGTTGCTGTTAGTTCGCTATGCGGTATAGTATAATTGAAGCGCCGTACACAGTTAAGACTAATTTTTTAAGGTGCGTTTAGATATTTCACAAACTATGTGAAACATAACTACTTAATTTGTTTCCCCTATTCTAGTGTTTTTTATGTTTTCCGTGTGCTGTCGGTAACAAGCGCTAATGTAGCTATTATTTATTTTTTTTAATTATTTATTGAGTATTACAACAAGCTTTCTCTGGGACATTGCTTATAGTGAGGTAGGATAACAAGCTATTAATTACGATAGATGATTGTGTTTCGCATAATTTGTGAAATGTCTAAACATACCTTAACAGATAAATTTTACGTTCTAGATATAATTGTTGCTATAATTATTAAGATACAATTATAACATCATGTAAGTACCAGTTTCATAAGACTTATACAAATTAATAATTATACATAACGAACTATTCGAAATTAGTTTTACCTAGCTCTTAAATAGTTAAATTTATATAAACTTATATCTTTGCTAAACAATAAATTGTATTATTATTATTTTATTTCATTTTCAATTTATGAAAAAGTAAACCTCCGTTAGAAAATTTTTCTTTCAACAATTAAAGATTTGATTAATGGACGGTTGGCCGGTTTCTTTACAAAGTTTTACCGTGTCATATATTTATAGATATATCATTAATCGATATCGTAAATAAACTAAAATTTTAAGCATTCGGAAGTATACATTATGTAAATAACTGACTATTATAGAAAATACACGAATAAACAATTACTCTATTAATTTTTAGAGCCATATTATCTTTTTAAAATTCTTGGTTTATGAAAAGGGCGTGTTGTGAGCTCAAAAATATTTTTTCTAAAAGCAGAGGTCAATTTTTAAAATTTAATTTATTGTAAGTGGACAATCAATTTATCGCCAGCTGTCAATCAATTTTTCTAAAAATTTTGTTTATATTTGTTGCTAGCTTTTTCCTTTGTTTTTGATTTGTAATAGCGAATTTCGCCACTATTTTAATCCTTTTTTTAAATCCTGATAATGGTATTCATTACTTGGGTACGTCTATAGTTCAGTACTGAAAAACATTATAAATCTCCAAGTAGAAGATCGGCTAATACGTTCTTTCAATATTTTATTACCTAGTATCATTTAGCAACAACCGTTACAATTAAAAAAGAAATTGTTATTCATGCAAACGAATTCCATAATAAATGCTAATCCACTTGCTTTTATAATCCTGTGCAAGAAGCTGACATTTCAAAACAGCTGTTGGTGCTGTGTTGCTAGGCAGAATATCCCATTTGCCACGCAGAATGGAATGAGTTCGAGTCACGTCCACAATGTGGATAATGGCTGAGGTCGGGCGAGCGTTGAAGAACTAAGAACGTGAGGCGGACAATATGCTCTCTGGAAGTGAACAGGCATTCTTCTGTCCGATGTTCTTCTGGCACCTGGTGAAGAAATCTTCTGTCAAAAGCAGATTTCTAATCCAGATATTCCGATCCCTAGAAAATGTTGCATTTTCATGCGAGGCCTATAAAACGCAGGAAATCAGTTGATAACACGAAATTTTAATTAAATAAACCGTTTAAGCGTTTGAATATTTAGTAATAATAGTTTTACTTCATCAACTAACAAACGTTGAAAATTTGCAAGTTTCAAAGGAATGTGCAATTTTTTTTTTACAGTTTCAATTAGTTTACATGTATCTTGTATAGTAGTGGATTCAGGATTTAATTTTGAGGTTAACTTTTTTTTATGGTAATTATTGGAACAATAATGCATTTAGGAATAATTTTTTTTGGTTATGTGCTTACATTTATTAACTAGCTGAAGAACATGCATTATAATTTAAAAAAGAAACATTCTGTCATTGTTTAAGTATTTATCACATATCAATCATTGAAACAAATATAGATGATCAATAAAATAATTATTTCAGTCCAAAAGTTCCAATGTTAATATTTTACCAATATTCTTCCAATGTTAAAATTTTTCAAAAAAAGATGTAGTTCTGTTGTTTTTAAGAAAACTTCGTGTCCTCAACTCTTGAAGATATTTTTAGAGGTTTACATTTTATCAAGAGAAACCAAGTTGAAAAAAAATAATAATATCTAGAACAATACAGATAGTTGAAGTACCATCCATTGTGCACTAACAAAGCTCTATCCCTGTAATACCAATCAGTTGAGAATCAACTACTACCACCATTTTTCCTTTTACACAATTTAATTTTGCAGAACTGATTTAATTTATTTATGTTTAAATGATTCCTTACTATTGTTCTTAAAATGGGGAAAAATTAATAAATTATATCATTCGTCATCAAACGATAGTACTATTCCATACTGTAAACTTCACTAGAGATTTTACAATATTTTCCTACTCTCAATGCCACTGAGAGCATCTATTGTTTGTTTTATTATTATTTTTTATTCTTATACGAATAAATTTGTACATATATTTACAATAAGATAATGATGTGTTTAGATATTATTCATTATTTAAATACTCTGACATTTTATATTGTCAGATTCTTCTTTCCTATCTTAGCAGAAACGCAGCTTATTTGAAAGAAGAACTTAATGTATTTTTTATTATTTTATTTCTCAAAAGTGTATAATTATAATTTTTCCTACTGTGCATAGTTTTAAGTGTTTTGTATATAGATTTATTTTTTTATTTTATTTTTTTGTATATAGCTTGTTTAACTAATATCTTCTTTACTTTCTCTTTTTTTATTATTTTTTTATTTTGGCCAAATGTAGTCTTTAATTATGTACTATTTGTTATTCTAAAGGGACTTTGACCCAGAATAAAGTTATTTTCTATTAGTATATTAAACATAAGTGCTAGATAGTTAGTCGCCAAAACACTCAAATGTATAATGATTTAAAATAAAGTTAATACAAATTATCAAACATCAGATTTAAATTTGTCTATTTTTCATACTTATTAGAGATCCAAACAAGCTACGTATAAAAAAATAGTTTACTCTAGATAAACAATGTCCAAATTAATTACTTTCATTGTATATATTATCAATAATCATTTACTTAAACAATCGATGACTGTCATATTTCTTTTTGATCCTTAGTTATGGGACTGTTCGAAGACCAAACAGAGAGGACAGTGACGGTGAAGAGTGGGCGAGCGGCAGTACTCGACGTACCTCCTATAGCTAGCCAACCTCCACCGCTAGTCCAATGGCAGGCAGATGATGGTTCACAACTCTACGACAGGGAGTATGCGCATTCTCCAGAGAGTCAGTTGATCATACTCTCTGCTTCACCTAGTCACCAAAAGGCCTACAGGTAATGAAAAATTTGTTTTATTTATTTAAATATTTAATTGTATCCCTGAAGTTACCAAATAAATCTAGACCTACTGAAATTTATTTAGTTGGGGATAGTCCAATCTGATTGGAATGAAGAACACATTATCACACTTACTTAATATGCTTAGAATCCCACTGGTTTCAAGTCTGAAGGCTTACCTTCACATTGAAGAAAGTAATGTTACCACATATTGGGCAACGATCATGGGAATGGGAGGTGATAAAATCAAGTACTGTTTCGCATAGCATATTGCTTAGCTCTTGAAAAGATGCCAAGTTGATTTCATCCTTAGAATTAGTGTTTTAGTCACAAACCAATCCTCAAACTTCCAAATGCAATCAGATTTAGTAGAGTGCTAAATAATTATAAGGAGAAATAAATAATCATTATATAAATAGGCAAATTATATTATTATAATTTGTATCAAGTACCTTTTTACCCTCTATTTTTCAACTGATTTTCTTTCTTTATTTTTTTATTAGTAGCTATTACGAGTTTCAGAGTTATCAATAAAAAATTTTTGGAAAAAGTGTATATAAATAAAAATATAAATGTTAGTTTTTTTCAAAATCTCCAAAAGTTCTTCACTGATTACTTTGAAATTTTGATACAACATTGCATTCAAATTCAGAAGTATTTTTATATACATTTCATTAGTATCCAGCATTTTTTTTTTAAATGAGGATCAAAAAACATGTGTCGTTTTAAACTGTATCGCCAAAACAGATGTAACGATTTTAATGAAACTTGCCTAAATTCTTCTTGAAGCCCTTTTAATTTATTTATTTAACATACTTTCCCAAAAAAAGCTGTAAAAATAATGAATTCATAATTTTATTTGCGAATAACTCAAAAACTACACAAGTGATACTAAACTATTTAATTTTGTAAATACTTATAAAAATGTAAGTATAAATCTATAAAAGTAGAAAAAAAAATTGGAAAAAAGCAAATTCATATATGTTTTCTTCAAATTTTTAATAAGGATTATGCCTAGTTTAGACCTCAGTGGAACTCTAGTTTTATTAAATATACAATGAATGGTATCATGCCTTTTTTCAGCATTGAAAATAAATTAATGAGTTTTTGTTTTGACTGGCTTTTTCTATTATAACTTTTCAATTTAAAAAAAATATAATAAAATTTAGGAATGTATAATTAAGACGATGATTTAATTGTAACATAATATGTAATAATAATCAGTTGGCTTCTTTTGTATAAGATCACGGTTCCAAACTTAAAAGAAACATTTTGGAAGGATTGTTGACCAAATATTTCTGCTCATCATTAAACAGCTCATCCTAGAAAATAACAAATTAAGAAATAATTTATCAAATATCAAATATAACAAATAAGTGAATCATTCTTACACACAAATCAGGAAATTGAAGTGCAAAAGTATTCTGGCCATATTAATATAATTTTTGCTTATTATTAAAAACTATTGGAATTATTTTTCATTATACTTGTTTGACCTTTGTTCTTTTTATTTTCCTATTGGTCACAAATAAATGAATCAAAAATTATTATTTGATTGCAAATTTATTTGAACGTTTCGAGAAAAACTTCGTCCTTCTCCTCAGCAATGTATTATTAATCGAAGAAATTGGGTTAGTCACAAAATTTCAATTCAACATGGTTAAGTACCTTCCTGTTGATTGCTGAGGTGGGCTGAAGTTTTCCTCAAATGTTCAAATAAATTTGCAATCAAATACTAATTTTTGATTAATTTATGAAACATAATATTTGAATTATATTAGCATAAAATTTATATCTTATTATAATTTGGGTCAGAGTTTCAACTTAATTTGTTCATAGGGCTCGAGCAACTAACACTCAACTCGGAAAAGAAGAAAATAGTGCTTACATTCGTCTTCAAGTGGTTGGTGAAGAAGAAGCAGAGGTAGCACCAGAAATAATAGTCGGACCGAAGGACGTGCACATTGTAAAGGGAAAGTTAGAAACAAATCTTCATTGCATAGTTAATGCCAGGTTTGTATTTAGTTGATTACTTATTTTAAAAAAGTGAAAATGAAGTGTTTTTTTGACTTCTGAAAATGTATTCATTAACTTTATTAACACAATAAAATTGTATTATACATAACTCAGTGAATTATTCTCATAAGTATTATTTCTAAACAATCGTTTAAGCATTAGTTCTCTTCCAATATTTCAGACCTCTTCATGAACTTGAAACCCTTTGGTACAAAGACGGAATCCTGATAGAGAACACTGGAGTTGGGTATACATTTAACGATCCTTGGAACAGGACTTTGTCCCTTGTCAGTGCTAATCTAACCCACACTGGGATGTATACCTGTCAAGCATCTTTAAGGACTGGAGGACTTCCTTCTGTTAACGCATCTGCTAATGTCATTGTGCTTGGTAAGTCTCTCTACTCATAATAATAATGATTGAATTGATGCTTTCAACTTGATATCTCATTAGCTATAGAAGCAGGAGCGATCAAATAAAATTTTATTCTATAAAAAAATAATGTAATTAAGTATTCAATCAACTTAAAAATTAACACGCTTTTGTCCATATTTCACTTGAGATAATTCAATTAAAAAAAAATTGTTATTAAACTTTTAAGAGGCATCTTTTATGGCCCTTTTACACAGTTAAGTTTCTTGAATAAATTAACTTTAGTTGAGGAACTTTACCATGTAAAAGGGTTTTTTGTTAGTTCAGGGGAACTGGAATTGATCCAACAAGTAGGAGATTTGTGACTAAACTATTGCAGTGCTCCTTGTGATCAGAAAACATATTATTCTACAAAACACTTAGTGTGTACCACCATTTTTTAATTGTGTTATTTAAGTGTGACTCAGCGTATCATATTCTTTATAATTTTTATAAAGCATTTTATATTATTTTAATGATAAAAATATCTGAGTGAAGTTTTAAAATTGACAAAGTTTTTAGGGAGGGACCACTTGAATAGAGTCTCCTCTATATGACATTACATTCATCATCCCGAGCTCAGAAATCCATAACTGGATATTGGCTTCCTCAAGAGTTTTCGTCCATGTTTCCCTTTCCTAAGCAGCAATCCACCAGTTTCTGATTCCAAGGATTCTGGCATCAGAACTTACTCCATCTTTCCATCTCAGTTTCGATCTGCCCACGTTTTTTTTTTTCCACCAGACTCCATGCTGAGCAGCTTCTTTGGGATGGACGTCACGTTCATCCATACAACGTGGCTTGACTATCTTAGCCTTGCTATCTGGATATATTTCACCAGATTTTTCTCCTAGTACATTCTATGGCTAGTTCTTGGTTGAGTCTAATTATCCGTTCATCATTCTCCTCAATTGGGATAATATCATCCAAAGGACCTTCCTTTCGAAAATTAATATTTTACTCTCACTGGCCTTCGTCACTGTCCATGTTTCACACCTATAGTCAAAACTGGTAGTATAAGAACTTTGTACAGTAGAAGTTTAGTTGATCATAGTAGTGAATGGCTTTTCATGTACTTCGGGAGGCCATAATAACTTCTATTTGCGGCAACAAGTCTTTACTTCACCTCCTGTTTCATATCATTATCCGCAGTCACTACCGATTCTAAATATTTGAACCATTGAACTTTTTCAAATTCGTATCTACCAACTTGGATGATATCAAGAAACTTCACAACCATTTATGGTATTTAAATACGTAAGTTAAATGATCTTTAGAATAAAGAACAAGCTTCACATGAAAACAATTGGGAATATAATTGATTATAACTAAAATTAAAGGAAAACAGAAGAGTTTAATAAATAACTGCTTCATTTTCATTCTTCAAATTTGAAGATGGAAAAGGAGTATTTTCTCATTTTTCTTTTATTACAGCATGATTTGATGAAATTTAGAATAAATTTATGAAAAATATTTTCAACAATCCTTGTTCTTGAAGCAATTCTGCCAATATTGGGCATCTCTTTATTCCTCTTGAAAAACCATCTGATAATTATTCAGTAGGTCTGGAGACTGTATGACGATCACTTAAGCATTTATTGAAACATTTTCCTGGTGTCTGGAATGGATGGTATCTTGTTTAACCTCTCAGAGTATTGATATAATCATAGATTGTAATACGACTTAGTAAAAGCTTTGATTCCCTGAAAGAACTTAAAATAAAAAAACAATCATGGACTTTTCAAAGTTTAAAACTCATTTTCTTGAAGCTGAGGCACACTGTTTGTTTGTTGAGCATACTATCTCATTCACTTTATTCTGTAAATGTGTAGTTTTGATGGGTAAATAGTCGACTGATGAATTATAAGGATGAAATGTGTCATAGGCCATAGGCTTATTATTATTATTATTTTTTTTTAATTAGCAAATTTAATTAAAGTCATATTAATGATATTTTATGTTTTTACCTACTTTATTTCACCAAATACAAGACAATGAGTTTAAAATTATTTTTTCTTTTGTAGAAGCACCATCGTTTGTCGGTAATATGAGGCCAGAAACATTAGCAGAATACAGCAGTACAGTTGTTCTCCCTTGTGAAGCAATAGGAGTACCAACACCTAACATCACTTGGCTGAAGAATGGATACAACGTCCTCAAACTGCCCCAAAAGAATAGGTAATATTCTCCTATTCAATAATTGTACACATTTTTCCAACTATATCATTATTTTCTTAATATCATTTATTTATATATTTTTTCAGATATAAAATAGACGAAGACGGTTCGCTTGTAATAAAAAAATTAAGAATGGAAGACACAGGAATGTTACAGTGTGTCGCTACTAATGAAGGAGGCTCTGAATTCATAACAACTTGGCTTAAAGTCAAAAGTAATTATCCTAATGCATTATTTATTTATGTTTGACAGCTTTATATTTGTTATTACCAAAGATTTGCTGTTTTGTTTTTCTTGTTTTGTTTTTTTTGTTTTTTTTTACTATCATTATTAACGCTTCTATGTGAAAAAAAGAGATAATTTCTGTAACAGAGAGGAGAGTAAGACGATGGGGAGACAATATATTCAGGCTTCGTGGGTCTCAATTCCACAGACCATTCTGTAAGAAGGAAATAAAAAATTTAAATAGCTACTGAATTAGTAAAAGCACAGTTTTGTTAATGCACTGTGTGTCTTTTCGAGCACGTTTTATGTTTTTTTTTTTTTTTTTTTGCATCTGCTTCTATTTTATTATTTTGCTTAGATTAGCTATTGTTTTAAAATTAAAGCTGTGATACCTCATAAGTTAAAAAAAAAAAATCAAAACTACAATCTTTATATTATCTATAAAAAATAAATATTATTGTATCATTTTTAGAGGTATCTTATAAGTCAGAAAAAAACTATGTAAGTGACAAGGTATCTCTAGAATGATATGTTAATATTATTTATTTAAATGGTTTCAGCATAATTTTTTTTTTTTCAAACTCACAAGATACTACAGCTTTAGCAATATTTATTACTTTTTGATTTAAATAGACATTTGAAAATCTATTAGAAATTCTTTGTGTTAGTTTAAGGTTATTATGATCATTTAATTATTATGTTATTTTAGTAGTAATTGCTGATAAATAGCAATAAAATATGAGTAGTTATGTTGTTTTTTGTTTTTTTATGATTTTCGGTAGTTTAGATTTGGTAGATTAGATTTAGTGTGTTAGTTATTTTCAAACTGCTAATTTTGTTATAATCTTGTTAATTGAAATAGGTTTTTATATAATTTTCAGTAATTATCATCTCTTGCTTTTAATGAATCTTTCGTTTCCTAAAATGTATGATTATTATAAAATTATAATTAAAACTTAAGAGTATATGTAAAAGTGGGTTTAGAATTTTGAATGCATAATTTTAAGAAAAAATCCAAGTACAATCCATTATATAATCGTTACTTGACTAAATAAAAACCAAGTTGTTTGTGATATTATATTACAAATTATAGAAAAGATGTTTTTCCAAATATTCAATCATTATATTAAAGAAATTATCATTAAAAAAACTCTATTTTTACCTTAAACTATTGAACTGAGTTCAAATAAAAATTATAGATTTGATAGAATATTAAAATTGGAAATTTTTACTGAGTACTTCATAATTTGATTTATCATAGTATTCATTGGTTGCTAAAGATTTAAATGCATTGATTAACAGGTAAATGAGAAGTATTTACATTACACAGATACATAAGGGACAATTTTTAGCAATAAGCAATTTAAGTTCCCTATGATAGCTTTTTTATATTACCTTTATTTACAATTTATGGCTTAGAATTATGTTGATTTGAAGAGTTAATTTATAATATACCCATTTTTGAAATTTATCATTTTAAATTACCATTAATAATTCTTAATTAACCTGTGTTTCTAATAAAATATTGTTGTTTAGCCTCAGCACCAATAATGGAAACGCCTCCACAAAATGCAACTGTTCTTGATGGAAAAGATGTCATTATGATATGTAGAGTTGCTGGGTCTCCTATTCCTAATACAACATGGATTTATCAAGGTTGGTCAAGTAAAAACATAAGACTTTATTTTACCTTTGTATATTATTAAAAGATACTGCAGAACATCATGTAGAAAATAATGTTTTAATTCTGGTTTTCAATAACTTTTTTTTTAATATTTAATAGTTGACTGTTTTGTATTTTAATGGAAGGAGATAGTCCGGCGTGGTGGTCATGAATGGACTAAAATATTGGAAAACTATTGTATTTCAAGCCAACATTTCGACCCGAATTAGCAGGTCTTCTTTAGGGCTAGAACGGACAAGATACAAAAGGATATCATCAAAATCAAAAGGATATACAATATCCTTTTGTAACTTGTCCATTCTAGCCCTTAAAAAGACGTACAAAGTTGGGTCGAAACGTTGGCTTGAAATAAAATAGTTTTCCACTATTTTAGTCTATTTATGACCGCCACCCCGGACCATCTCCTTCCTCTATAACTTTTTTTTCTTATTTGCCTATTTACTATGTTGTATTTTGTATCTAGTATCCAATTAGAGCCTCTTAGACTTATTAACTATTTGTTTTCAGACACTCAAGTGGTCGGAGTGACAGGAAGAATACAAGTTCTGGAATCTGGAGATCTCCTTATCGCAGCAGTGCGAGAGTCAGATGCAGGGAAATATACTTGTGTGAGAACAAATGAAGCAGGAAGAGTTGAAGCCGTTGGTTATTTAAGTGTATTAGGTACATGATTTTTAATTGTTAGATTTTGATAAATAGTTTTCTTTTAGTTGGTCCTTACTTAAAAAACAAAACAAAAAATTGTGCCAAAATCCATGAAGGTTCTTGGTTTCAGCAATATGTATGGCAGTCCTGTTTCTAGGTTAAAGGTTGTGTAAGGAGGTGATTTGACTGAGAACATACTCAGCCGCTATGTTTTCCCTCTTTATTTGCCACAGCCAGACTTGAACCTGGTTGTAGCGATAGGAGCACAGTTACTCACTGAGCTACTCCTCCCTTTTTTGAAAAAACTTTATTTTAAAATCTAACTCACATTATTATATATTTTTAGTATCAATTTCATTGTTTTTAAATTCACATAAAAATACCTACAATTTTATTATAAATCTATTCCTCCCTCCATATATTATTACAGTAAGGCTCGAAATCGGTTTTGTACCAAATATAAGCTCAAATACCATGAATGTGGTACCGCTGGATTCAGAATTTCACAGAGGGTTAGCAAATCGTATTCTCTACTTTTGTTTTTCTTTCTAAAATAAATAAAGTCAATACTGGAGCGGTGGTAGGTCTATAGATCGATGCGGGACAAATTGGACCTTGAAGATTTTGATGTGTACAGCAAGACCCGGATAGTTCCTCCGGAACTATCGGATCCTGCCTTTTTAAGGCCAAAAACGTACTATTTTCAAAATAATACAAGGCATAGGATTCGCATCCACACAATCTTACGTTCATTGTAGTACTGTCATTAAATACATGTCTCATTTCGTCGACTTGAGGTCTCTATGATTGAGACAGGACTTATATTATATTATTTATCGTTGGTGTTTTTGATCGGCAAGCCACATCATCGTTAATTCTTCACCAAATCTCAAGATTGAACCACCAATTTCGGAGGCTTCCTTCTCCTTAAAATAGTGCAATCACCCCGAAAATTCAGGCAAACAAGTTATGAAAGAAAAGAAACTTTATTTGCGAATAACTAAAAAATTACACACTTTTCTCTTGGTTATGCCCATGATGTATAAAACATTACTGAATTTCCTACAAAAGAAAAAAAAATCATCGAAATCGGACATTTTTTAGCAATGATACAGCTTATTGAAATTTGTAGTAATATTTAAGTAAGCACAGTAAAATTTATGTTATATACTCATTTTTCCATTGCTTGTCCGATGTTTGGATGGATGTATATAATTTTAAATTATTGAATTAAGTATTCAAACAAAAATGGGACAAATGGAACAAAAGTGGATTCCGTTTATTTTTAAATTTTGAACATTTTTGTGGCTTTTAAAATAATTATCTACTTTAAGAATTATTTATATTAAAGATTACTAATGAAAATCTATGTATTTTAATGCTATTTTTTTCTCATGTTATAGTACGAACCCAAATTATTCAGCCTCCAGTTGATACAAAAGTTCTCTTAGGAAATACAGCGACTCTTCAATGTAAGGTTTCAAGTGACCCTTCAGTGCCATATCAAATAGACTGGTTTCACAACAGTCGGTAAGGAATTTCTGTATTCTATATAATTTATGTATAAGGTTGTTAGGTTATTTATGTATTCTATGGTATTTACTACTTTTTTTTTACATTGATTAGTATTTAGGAAGTTTTTTAATATTACATATTTAGTTTACTGTATTATAGACAAATTATGAAAAGATATATTTTTCAGTGCAATTTTAATATGCCAAATTTGGAGTTTAATGCTGAACTAAAATATAAAATAAAGCTCATCTCTAATTGTATTCTTCAAATTCATATTCAAAAGCACCTATAACATTCTTTACATTATTAGAAAATAATTATTATAAATTGAATTAATTAAATCTTAATTATCTTGTCTCTGAAAGATCCTTTTATTGAATAGGAAAATTTTACAAAAATCTATCTAACTCTATTGATCCAACCATCTATTTGAATAATCAGAAACATCTTTGGCTCTTAACTTTGTCGAAGTTGATCTCATTGCCTTGTCTGAAAGAACAGAAAATCCAGCTAATGCTGAGATATCAATGACATCTCATGATTACCAATAATCATTCTTTTTCTTTCCTTTCTCTTTTTTATCTTTCAGTGTGAAGGATTCGTAAGCCATTTATGCCAGCCATTGTTTTCCTTCACCAGCATCCTCATATAATCCAACTGCTCGCCTCTTTTCTCTCCTAGCTTGGATATTTCATCTATCCATGCTTTCTGGATTCATCCACTTGGCCTCTTTTCTTTGGGTCTTGTCTCTAGAAATTTCCTTATTCTTTCCCTATTCATCCTTATAATATCATTTGAGCATTTTCTTTTCCACACTTTCATATTATTAATTATGATTACCAATTTTTTATAAGTAAAAATTATTCACTTCATGATCAGCTAGGCATTTAACTAAAATATTTTTTTTTTATCTTCCGTCTTTGTTTCATTTGTTGTATCTAACATTATAATTATATTATAATTAAATGTATCTAACATTACATTATAATTTATGTTTATTCTACTTTCAGACCAGTTGGTCTCGGTTCAACCAGAGTAAAAGTAGGCGGTGATGGAACACTGACTATTCAGGCAGTGCGAGCTGCAGATGTTGGAGACTACATGTGTGTATTATCTTCTGCTGGAGGAAATGAAACTCGCACTGCAAGATTAAGTGTGATAGGTTAGTGATTTTTTAAATTTAATTTATTCATTGTCAGATTTGTTCAGCATATTACTACTATACTTTTTTTTATTTTTACAGAGTTACCATACCCCGTAATGGGAGTAAAAGCTATGAGAATGAACATGAGAGTAGTAAATGTCTCTTGGACTCCTGCTTTTGATGGAAATAGCCCAATAGTAAAGTATATTGTTCAAAGAAGGGAAGTTTCCGATGTAGGTTAGTTACAACAATGTTATGAGTTCATAAAATTCAATATTATTATTAATGAATTTTATTATAATTAAAAATAAAATTGTTATATAATATTTTATAAGTATTATAATTATATCCTTGGGCCAGTAAGTAAACGCTGTCCCTATTCCTCCACTATTCCACTCTATCCTGCTCCCCCCCCCCCTCTTCCATAGCTCAGTCTTCAGTTAATGACCAAGATATACTTGTTGGATGTCAAACTAACAGAAGTTTTTATAAATTACTGACACTATCTTTCTTTTTTTTATTTTCATTTCTATGTGAAAAAAAATTAAACAATTTTAAAACTTCTTGAAACTAGAATAATACTTAAAACTTTATTTTCATGTTTGATCTTTCAGCTGTCAGGCCATCTACAGTTGATTCAGATATACCATATTATCAAATTACCAATATGAAAAATTAACTGCTGTTCTGTGCTGTTCATATATCACATTAGCAAGTAAGGAGATGAAATCTAGAGAAAATAAAGCCAGAAATACATTGCTCATTTGATTAGAGTGGTTTTTTTCAATCAACTGTAGATAAACTGACAGCTAAAATTTCATGAAAATAAAGTTTAAAGAGGTGAAGTCTTTTTTTAGTCTTAACAATTCCTAATACATTAAATCCCTCCACCTTAAATTGTCTTATTCTTAAAATTGTGTAATTCTTTTTAACAATTCAAATATTTTTCAACTGTATATAAAATTTACTGTAATATTTTTTACATTATTTATTTTCTGAGAAGGAAAACTTTATTTTCTTTCATTCACTTAATTTTTTCGACTTGTTGTTTATCTTCCTGGCCACAATACTTTTCTTACAATCATAACAATATTTGTGAATCAATAGTTAAAATTGACTAATGCTGTTATAATTGAAAGAGAAAATAAAGTCTTCTTGAAGAATAGCAATAGTTGAAACGTTAAACAATTAAGCTAAAGAAAGAAAATAAAGGGTTATTTTTTAGAAAATAAATTGTGTAAAAAGTATTATAGTGTGTAATCCTTTATATATATGAAAATAAATCTTTTAAAGACAGAAGGAAATGTATCAACATTTTTATAAATTTTTGTTTTTATAAACCACTTACAGATTTAATGTTATTCTTATTCAGTTTTGTTTTTTAACAATTTTTCTTTTTTTCAAATCTAGGTTTGATCGCTGATCCTCTCCTCAATTGGATAACCGAAGACAGCAATGTATCAGCTGATGCCAGGTGGGTAGAGCTCCAAAATCTAAAAGCTGCCTCATCGTATCAGTTCCGAGTTTCAGCTGTCAATAGCGTAGGGGAAGGTCCACCTTCAGATCCCAGTAATGTGGTGACACTTCCTCAAGAACGTAAGTTTTTATAGTTATTAGTCTTCATCTATATAATGTAAAGTACATATGAAATATAGACTTTTTTATTTATACCTCTCAATTTATTTTAAAAAAGCTCTTTTTTTTATGAAAAAATTTGTTTGAAAACTTTAAAACACCTCATTTAATTAAAACCTATTTGTTCCAATTTTAGATGTCTTTCACTTTAACTCTACTTTCTAATAATGAAATAATTTACCCATCAAATCATCATAATAACCTTTAATAAATAGGTGCACCATTTGTTTTCCCCTTTTCTTCTTTAAAATTTATAATTCAATTAATTCAAAATTTAGTATTGATATCTTTCGTATCTCCTATCTTGCCTTCATCAGGAAACCACTTCATCGAAGAAGGTACCTGCATTAAAGAAACTTTGGTACTTCTTGTTCATTTATTTGCCTTATTTAAATGTTATTAATTTATTTTTATCAGCTCCTTCTGGACCACCGTTGGGTTTCGCTGGTTCGGCGAGGTCATCATCAGAGATAATAACGCAATGGCAGCCTCCACTGGAGGAACACAGAAACGGGCAAATCCTGGGTTATATTATTCGATATAGGCTCCATGGATATAAACATAGCCCTTGGACTTCTCACAATATCACAAATGAGGTATGATAAGTCCTTCAATCTTCAATGGAATCTTATTTATTTTAAATTATTTTTAAGTTGTTTTTCTGAACTATTATATATTTGTTTGTAAATGGTATATCTATCAAGAAAAATATTTAGAGTATAATTCAACATTTGCTTGCCAAGTAAGTCTTAAGTTTTGTTGCTTATATATCCCTTTCTTTTCAACACTTGTCATAAGAGTCTTAAAAATTACAACCAAATACCTAATTAGGATCTAACCAAAAATTGTACCCTTAAAAATAACTTGTTTTAAGTTATTCTTTTTGTACTTACTTTGACTTCAAATCACCACTTATTATTATTAGTGCTTTTTCAAATGAACTAATAACTACACCCCATTTTATGGTTCACTAAGTCAATGTGGAAAAGAATAAAAAACTAAGGTGTGTGCTTTAGACCAGACGTTGGAATTGAAAACATCAATAAGGCAAGATTATTAGTATGAATAATAAATTATGAATAATAGCTCATTATAAAGAGGATGAAATGCTGAACATTTCCCTCACTTATAGTATGCAGCTCCGATTTTTAGTTTCTAAGATATTTTAATCCATACCTTCCATAAAATTCGTTATCATTTGGTTTCCGACGCTATGTTTTCCTTTTTTGCCTCTCTAAGACGGAGTCACGTTAAGATACAATTCTGATAATAGCTCATTACAAAGAGGATGAAATAAATTGTTGATGTATTTTAATCCATATGCAAAAACACTTCAATAAGTCAACTCCAGCTGACTTTAACCGAGCGTTATCAATAAGAAATATGACTGCTGAATCTAATTCACTTTCCACAAAAAAAAGTGCGAAACGGGCCTAAAGAAGTTTTCATTTCAAAAATAACTATACGTTTTTTAAAAATCATATAGTAATGAAGTAGATCTTTATTACTAATATATAGCATTTCCAAGTCAATTTCAACCTTTTCCAAATCAAATTCAACCTTTTCCAAGTCAAATTAAACCTTTTCCATTTCAAATTCAACCTTTTCCAAGTCAAATTCAACCTTTTCCATTTCAAATTCAACTTCAGAATTTTTGTCAATTTTCGATTTTTTTCGAAATGAAGGCCACTTACTATATTATCGACGGCATAGCTTTTAAAAAATACAAAAAAAAATTTGATTACGCAGTTGCATATCCATTTATTTTGACATTTTAGATTTTTTCAGTGTGATATTTCTATGTGATATTCAATTATTTCCAAGTCAAATTCAACCTTTTCCAAGTCAAATTCAACCTTTTCCAAATCAAATTAAACTTTTTCCAAGTCAATTCAACCATTTCCATTTCAAATTAAACCTTTTCCAATTCAAATTCAACCGTTTTCATTTCAAATTAATGTTTTAAGTTTTTGTAAATTTTATATTTTTTTTTAAATAATGGCCATCCCCTCCCTCCCTCCAATATGAAAGTCTATTATTATGCTCTCCTAAGTAGAATTTTCACTTACGGATATCGATTTATTGTACCTAATCGGATTTCTTAGGGACTAGTATTATGCTGTCCTGTACCTAGTTTTGAAAATAACCTCCATTTTAAGATTACGTGACTGCGTTTCGAATCATTTAAGTTTTTCTGACAAATTCGATATGTGGGTGTATTTTTATGTTTCCCGATCAGTAAATTTTGAAAATGACATCCATTTTATGTTTACGCCACTGTGTTTTGACTTATTTAAGTTTTTAGAATTTATCCAATATAAGGGTGTATTTTTATGTTTCCCGATCAGTAAATTTTTAAAATGACATCTATTTTATGTTTACGCCACTGTGTTTCGACTTATTTGAGTTTTTCGGATATTTTTCATATGAGGGTGTATTTTTATGTTTCCGGAGCTGTAGATTTTGAAAATGACCTCCATTTTAAGATTAGGCCACCGCGTTTCGACTTATTTGAGTTTTTCGGATATTTTTCATATGAGGGTGTATTTTTATGTTTCCGGAGCTGTAGATTTTGAAAATGACCTCCATTTTAAGATTAGGCCACCGCGTTTCGACTTATTTGAGTTTTTCGGATTTTTTTCATATGAGGATGTATTCTTATGCTTCCGGAGCCGTAGATTTTGAAAACGACCTCCATTTTAAGATTAGGCCACCGCATTTCAATTTCTTTAAGTGTTTCGGATTTTTATCATAAAAGAGTGTATTCTTATGTTTCCGGAGTCGTAGATTTTGAAAATGATCTCCATTTTAAGATTACGCCACTGCGTTTCGGCTTATTCAAGTTTTTTGAATTTATCCAATTTAAAGGTCTACTTTTATAATGCCGGAGCCTTAGTTTTTAAAACGACTTACATTTTAAGATTAGGCCACTGTGTTTCGGTTTTGTTAAGTGTTTTTGCTTTTTCCTTCGAATAAAAAACATAATACGAAGGATTAATTTATTTTTCAATAAATAAATAAAAATATCTAATCAAAATAAATAAAATATGTATTGTCTCATTTTTAATTTAATTTTAGTTATCTTTTTTAATTTTGTGGTCTCCTATCACAAAATTATAAGATTTCGAACAATTAGCTGAAAAATCTGAATACGGAAGGTTAAATTTATTACCAGCTGCTTTTCGGCTTTTTAGTTTGTATTCTGTGGTTAATTTTACTTTAGCTTCATAATATTTATTTATTTATTCATACTCGAAAACATATTGATGAAACTTTGTATTGAAAAAATCCAAAATGAAGCCTAATTAATCAAGATGCAGCGGCTTAATCATAAAATGGAGCTTAAGTATTAGATAAATTTAAATATTAAAGATTAGAAAAATTTCAATACGTCTCGGATAACATATAAGTAGATCCTTATACCGAAAAAGTAAAAAAAAAAACTTTTATAATCCAAAACAGTGGCATAAACTTTAAATTGGGTCATTTACAAAATGGGGGAAATCTACTGCTCCAGAAACATAAAATTAGACCTTTAAATTGGATAAATTCGAAAAACTTAAATAAGTCAAAATGCAATGGCGTCATCATTAAATGGATGTCATTTTCAAAATCTACGGCTCAAGAAACATAAAAGTAGACCTTAATATTGGATAAATTCGAAAAACTTAAATAAGTCAAAACGCAGTGGCGTAATCATAAAATGGAGGTCATTTTCAAAATCTACAGCTCCGGAAACATAAAAATACACCCTCATATGAAAAATATCCGAAAAACTCAAATAAGTCGAAACGCCGTGGCCTAATCTTTAAATGGAGGTAATTTTCAAAATCTACAGCTCTGGATACATAAAAATACACCCTCATATGAAAAATATCCGAAAAACTCAAATAAGTCGAAACGCGGCTGCCTAATCTTAAAATGGAGGTCATTTTCAAAATCTACAGCTCCGGATACATAAAAATACACCCTCATATGAAAAATATCCGAAAAACTCAAATAAGTCGAAACGCGGTGGCCTAATCTTAAAATGGAGGTCGTTTTCAAAATCTACGGCTCCGGAAACAAAAAAGTAGACCTTTATATTGGATAAATTCTAAAAACTTAAATAAATCAAAACACAGTGGCGTAAACATAAAATAGATGTCATTTTAAAAATTTACTGATCGGGAAACATAAAAATACACCCTTATATCGAATAAGTCAAAAAAACTTAAATAATTCGAAACGCAGTCACGTAATCTTAAAAAGGAGGTTATTTTAAAAAACTACTCATACGATAACAGACCCACGCATCGAAAAATTAAAGATAATTAAATAAATAAAAAAAGGTTGAATTTGAAATGGAAAAGGTTTAATTTGAAATGGAAAAGGTTGAATTTGACTTGGAAAAAGTTTAATTTGATTTGGAAAAGGTTGAATTTGACTTGGAAAAGGTTGAAATTGACTTGGAAATGCTATATTTAACATAAATAGTTTGTGAAAATCAATTTAATAAAATGACTTTGTGTAATTAATTGTAAATTAATATATTTATGTAAACATGTTTCACCTCTACAGTTCTTTGTATGTTCAACATCATATGAATATATCGACAGGCTCTGCAAAAGTGGGAAACACAAACTTATTAATAAAATGAAATAAACTGTGTATTGTTTATTATATGAAGTAAATTTTTTATTGCATACTTAAGACAACGATTTAATGTTCTAAATGACATTTTTAGTAGTGTATTGGATATGAATATATCTCAGGTCAAGATTAATGGCCAAAGCTCAATACTGCACATTCTAATTAAATTGTACTTATAGGCTTTTGCAGTGTGGCTATTGATATGTTTCCTAGTTTTAAATTACAGACTTCGTCTAGTGTAATGTAAAATTTCCTTTTTCAGGCCCAAAGAAATTTTTTGATTCAAGACTTAATTACATGGAAAGATTATACGCTGCAAATAGCTGCTTATAACAACAAGGGAGTTGGAGTATTCAGTGATGGACTGAAAATTAAGACCAAAGAAGGAGGTAATACAAATGATTCATTAATATATTTTGTTTTGTGAACTATTTTTAATTATCTTTTGATGTTTAGTTCCAGAAGCTCCGCCAGATAATATCAAAGCCAAAGCTATTAACTCTACCGCAGTTCTAGTCTCTTGGAACCCACCTAATCCGCAGAAAATTAATGGTATAAACCAAGGCTACAAAATTCAGGCATATCAAGGTACTTTAATTTTTAATATTATTATATTTTCCCCTTCTTGTATGAACAATGGGATGACTCAAACGTTGTAGTTTGGTGACAGATATCTTGTTTGATGTGGTTGTAAATTTGAATTATTGATCAATTTATTACCATAATCAATTGAGATGTTCAAAAAACTACTATTTTGAGTTGTCCCATTTGTTGTGCCAAAAAGGCATTTTGTTTTAAAATAAAGTATTATGTAAGCTTATAGAAATGTGAACTAATTTCTGATTGGGAACTAATTACCGTAAGATGGGCTAACTTTGGGACACTTTTCAAAGTTTAAACTACTTCTATCTTTATTTTCAAAGTTAAAATGCTGACAAAATTATTGATATGTAAGGTCAGCCATTCCTTTTACAAAATATTGAAAATCATAATTTTTCAAACAATTAGACCTGTTTTTGTTAGCTGAAGCCAAGAGATCACTGTAAACAAAAAAACTGCAGATCTTTCACTTTGAAAATTTTTCACTGGCCAATTTGTCCTTTGAATAGTGAATTTCATCAGGCGTTGAAGGCCATTTCCAATTAGAAGCTGATTTCTTCTTGAACAATATTAATACTTCGGTAATCTGATGTTCGCAGTTCTTGAGGCACGAGCAAAAGTTTCATGAAAACAAGAATTTTGAAAAAAGCAATAGAAATAAATAAAGTTATTGAAGGAAGTTAGTCGACTGTTCTACATATCGTGGGTGATAAATATTCAGGATGCAGTCGTTATAAGGTTTTTATTAGTGCCGATGTTTCAATCCAAACATGTGGGTCATCATCATCATGGTTCGAGCACTGAAGATATTCAAGTAGTAATTAGTACTACGTTAGTACTTGAATATCTTCAGTGCTCGAATCATGTCCTCATGATGACCCACATGATTGGGTTGAAGCATCAGCACTAATAAAAACCTTATAATGACTGCATCCTCAATATTTATCACCCATGAAATAAATAAAACCTTACTGCACAATGGGTGTAGTAAACTAGGGTTCTTAAACAATGGCAAGGTAGTAGCGCAGTCCATGCCTACACAATGCACAATTTTGCAGACTGAACCAACACAATGTATCCACCACGGAATCACCACAAAATAAATTTTACCCGCCGTCCCAAAGTTACCTACTCAGTCCTAAAGTTACCCTATCTTACGGTACTGAATGTGGGGTCCAAGTTTATGTATTCTGATCCATTAATTTAATATCAGAGGAAATGGAAGTTAATAATTTTTAACTTGGTTTTTATTAACTAATTGTTGTTATTTTTTTCTTTAATTTTAGGTGATGAAGTAGTGCATTCAATGACTGTTCCTCCTAGTCTTTTGGATCCTTTAGAAGAGCAAAAGGCAGTTTTGAACGATCTTCAAAAACATGCTAGTTACAATATCACCGTACTGTGTTTTACTGACCCCGGAGATGGAGTTCAGAGTAAACCTGTTCTGGTTACAACTCATGAAGATGGTAAATGATATGAAGATAATTAATGATCTATAAATATATATATTATACATTGAAAAATCATTTATGTTAAAATAAATTATTCTCTCTACAGTACCTGATGAAGTCAAAAGTATAAATTTTGAAGATATATCAGACAGGGCCGTCAAAGTTGTTTGGTCTGCTCCTCAGCGCACAAACGGAATCCTTACCGGGTATACATTATCTTATATGGTTAAAGATCAATCTGATACATTAAAAACAGAAGAACTTCTACCTAATATTACCAGCCTTCTTGTGACTCAATTACAGGTATGTCTATATCACTGTAAAATAATACAGATAACTTTTATTTAGTATTTTCATTAATTGTCTGTTACTTCTTATTTTAATGTAGGCAACAACACATTACAAGTTTTCCATCGCAGCTAAAACTCGTATTGGAAAAGGTCCCACACGGGAAGCCACAATACAGTCTGGTGTGGAGCCAGTCCTGCCATCACCGCCCACCAAATTAGCTGTGACTAATATTGAACCGTTTTCAGTTGTTTTACAATTTACTCCTGGTTTTGATGGAAATAGTTCAATCACTAAATGGATTATAGAAGTAAGATTTTAAATTATTTATTATATTTTATGCACTTTTTATTTATTATAAATGTATTAAAATTAAATACATGAACTGAGTTCTAAGTGAAACTCCTAGCTGAACACACCTCCCTGAAGAAGACCTGCAAAGTCGGGTCGAAACATCGGCTTTCAATAAAATAGTTTTACCACTATTTAGCCTATTTATGACTGCAACCCTGGACCATCTCCTTCTTTTATTAATTTATATTTTTTATGATATAAAAAATGTTTAATATCGAAAATGAAATGTATGAGGAAAACTGTCTAGAAAAAATAAATGAATATATATTCATTTACCAATCTGTGATGATTATCTTGAAAATTCTTAATGTATATAATATCATTTATATTTGTATATGTGTGTTTAAACTTTTTTATTTATTTTGTTCATGTAGTCTCAATTTACTCTTCTTTTTTTTTTTCATATTCACTGGACGAAAATAGTTTTTGATTTATAGTCCATCATAAAATAACATGAAAACATTTAAACATACATAAGACCATATATATATATATCAAAATATTAACATTTCTCTAATGAAATCTATACAAAATATTTAATAATTTCAGGCTAAAAGTGCTCGTAATTCATCTTGGTTCACACTTTTTGAAGTATGCCAACCTGAAGGAAACACAGTGACAGTAACTGGCCTCACACCTTTCACAAATTACATGCTACGGATGATAGCTAGTAATGTCGTTGGTAAGTCTGAACCATCTGCACCTACGAAGGAGTTTCAAACTATACAAGCGCCGCCTGCACATCCTCCTAGGAATGTGACTGTCAGAGCAATGTCAGCAACTGAACTAAGAGTTAGATGGATTGTAAGAAATTTTTAATTTATTACTTTATTAACTTAATTTCATAATAATAGAGTCATAATTTTTAATATCATAAAATAAATAATATTTTAAATATTTTTAGCCTCTCCAACAAGTAGAATGGTTTGGTAATGCGCGAGGATATAACATATCTTATTCCGAAGTGGGATCTGAGGTTTATAAAAGTATTACAATTGAAGACCATACAGCAAATTCTCATATCCTTCAATATTTAGAGGAGTATACCCAATATCGGGTTATAATGACTGCTTTCAACGATGTCGGAAGTTCCCTACCCAGTCCTGCTGCGCTTGAAAGAACTAGAGAATCTGGTAAGAATAAATTAATAAAAACTTTTTAATTTTATAAAACTTGTTTTGTCATCACTATATAATTATAAATAAATAAAATTTATTTTATAGTTCCTTCTTTCGGTCCAATGGATGTTGAAGCCAATACTACATCATCGACTACTATTGTTGTCAAGTGGGGCGATGTTCCTAGAGAACACAGGAATGGACAACTAGAAGGTTTTAAAGTCTTGTATGGTGGAGTGCGAAACCAACCCACTAAAGTATGTTGTTGCTTATTATAAAATAATTAATAATAAGTCTGTTTTAATTATATGAAGTGTTATTGGAATAGGTAATATTGAGCTAAAGAGTTTCAATAATCCTTGGTAGTCTAAGAATATATTATCTAAAATCCAAAATTCTTAATGAAAAATTTACTTATCACCAATTTGAGAAAAATGATTATCAAATTTGATAAATACCTTGTTTTTAAATATGAGTGTTCGTATTACTATTAAAAATAATCAAAAACCACCCTGAAAATGGTTTTTGTTGTTAATAAAAACTGGTATTTTGTAAAATATGATTTTTCATTCAAAAATTTAAAAAAATAAATCTTACAAATTTTCATTATACCTTTTTTTATTTTTCAGGTTAAAGATATACCATCCAATAAGACTTTTACTACAACTCTGACTGAATTGAGGAAATTTCAAGTTTACAGTATTCAAGTTTTGGCTTATACCAGGCTCGGTGATGGAACTGCTAGTAGCCCGCCAGTTAGGGTTCAGACTTACGAAGATGGTTTGTAACTTTATATTTAATCACATATACAACATTCAATATTTTTAGCACAATAGTGGTATTGGAAATTTAAAAATTTTATTTCTGTTTAGTTCCTGGAGCGCCTTCCAATGTGTCTTTTCCTGATGTTTCCTTGACAACTGCTCGTATCATCTGGGATGAACCCGAAGAACCAAATGGTGAAATAATTGCTTATAAAATAACATACACACTTCAACACCCTACTACTTCACCTGCAAATTTTTCTAGAGAATTCCCACCATCAGATAGAACATATAGGTATTTTTAAAAAATTCAATATCTTATTTATAATAAAAAAATAACAAATATTTTTTATTTACTAATTTTTTCGTGCCTAATTTTTTTTCATAGAGTAACAGAACTGGAAGCCGAACAGTTTTATCTATTCTCAGTAAGTGCCGAAACAAGACTAGGTTGGGGAAAGTCAGCGAGTGCTTTGGTTTATACGACTAATAACAGAGATACTCCTGATCCACCTTCCAAGCCTCAGATATCCAGAAGTCAGTTGCAATCTTCACAAATCACTTTCAGCTGGACTCCAGGAAGAGATGGTTATGCACCGCTAAGGTAAAAATTAATTTTACTCTTTCATCATCATTGTGTATAACTTCCTCTAAATACTGCATTACAGGACAGTCTTGATAATCCCAATATGTAGATTGCATGGCCTATTCAGATTATAAAAATCTTCAGATTATCAAAGATTAAATTTAAAATAATGGAAAAATTGTACAAGGTAACGAAAATATTGTCAGTTAAACACATTGCAAACAAAAACATTCTCAAAATGATCCCATAATGTACGTTGAGTCTCTGATTTTGTTGCTAAAGAAAACGCCTAATCCTGCAAATTTTTTAAAATTACCAATCTTTGGTATTCGACATTGCATCCACTCGCCCACCACAAGTGACTATTAAATGCCTTTATGGCGTTTCTATGACTTACTTCTAATGAAAAATAAAAAACTTATTCCAGACCTACTTTTGAAATTATCAAACCAACTTTTATTGGCATTAAAATATACTTTGTCATCCTATAAAAAAAAAAAAAAATTGACTTTTAAGGTAATGTATCCGCAGAAATTGGACACACTTGTGTTCTTTGCTGTAAAAGCCACATATAAAGAGATACCTCAACTTCTGGATGATTGCCTAGTTTTAATGTTTTCCGTTTAGAGACACCACAATCCGATTTCAACACTATCAGTCAACTTTAACTTTTTTTTTCTTTCTTGTTCAAAGTACCAGTGGTTTTGGATTACTAGGGGTTCAGATTATCGAGACCCTTCTATATATGTGTATCAACCTCCTTAGATTATTTCAGCATTTTCTCTGAATCTTGAGACAATTCTTATCTTATCACATTTTTCCTCTTAATCCTTAAATGCTCAGAGCCTTAAATACTTATTTATTCCGTAATGGGGTTCCTGATTCATGCTTGAAAGCTCTGTATGTTCTGACCTAAACTTCTGCATAAGTGAATATATAGAATAAATTTTGCCCTTACCAACAGGGCACGTTTTAAAATTTATTTGAAACCAAACAGGAAGCGAGTTCAGTATCAAAATCATTTGATTTACTTTAAAGTGATACTGCCTAAGAGCTAGGCTACAAAACATTCTATAAAATTATTCAAAAACATGGCAACCCACCATTGAGTTGTTCAGTGTGGTCTGCACTATGTAAAAGGTTAACATATATCTTGTGCTTTATTCCCCTTTTCATCGCATAAAATTTTCAGATTCCTGTTTTGACCTTCATGTAATAACTTTTGCTGGAAAAATCCAATATTCTTCTCAACACCATTTTTCTTCTCTTTCGTCATATGATCTCATCCAAATTTATTTCAGCCTATTAGTCAAATACATTGTCTCTTTAAAAGTTTATTTATTTTTTTAGTTGCTTATAGATCTCCTGTTATATCATGGTTTTAACATGTATAAATTTCAAAGAAGTAAGAGGAATCATTTTTCAACTTCTTATAAATAGTGTCATTATGATTTTCTTGATTTATATTATGTAAAAGAAATGTATCTGTAGCAAAACTGATATTTTCCATGTGTCAATATCTTTTAGTTTTATATAGTCAGCTCATTGCAAAAAGTCACTAATTTCATTTTTAATGTATATTTTTGTGCATTTCCCCTTTTTTAATACTAAAACATAATAAGTGTATTAATGTAACATAAATATTTTAAGTATTAAATGTAGTTATAAGAAGTGTGCGATTTCAGAGAAGAAAAACTCATCAAAGTACTTAGTGATTAATTTGATCTGATTCTAAAAATGTGAGGAATCGAGATATAAAAATCGAGAAAGTCTTTGTTATGTCAAATTTTAATGCTGAAATTAAAAATATCAAGATAATTTTAACTTATTTTAAGGAAATTATTGTGTATTTTCTAAATTGTTTTTTTTTTTTTTTTCTTAGATACTATACTGTTCAAGTGTCTGAGGGTGTTGGGCCTTGGATAGGGATATCAGAGAGATTAGACCCGCAGGTAACATCATTCACTGCTGTCAACTTGAAACCGTTCACCCTCTATCGGTTCAGAATACAAGCTACGAATGACATCGGCCCTTCAGGCTGGAGTCCTGAAAGTGCTCAAGTCAGGACATTACCTGCTGGTAAGATTTAATTTTGGTAACTCTATATATTTTATTAGGCAATCCAGATAAATAGGAAAATTCATTGATTTATTAACATCATTGATGCTAAAGCTCATCTTATTATTTCAGCTCCAAGCCGTCCTGTATCGGGTGTAAGGGCAGTTCCGATAACGACAACTAGTGTCCAAGTTCATTGGTTACCGATACCTAATGCTTTCTGGAGTGGCGACCAGCAAACGGGCGGCTACAGAGTCATGTATCAACCTCTGGCTGATTTCCCAGCTTCGTTACAGGCAACTCCCAAAGTTGAAGTTCAAGGAGTTGATGTGAGTGCTTAATTATAAAAAAGAAAAAAGTTCTCGTAATTTAAATATAAAATCATAGATTGATTTTAATTGTTATAAAATTTTGAAATTTTTATAGCTTTATTAGATTATTTAATTTTCAAGGAATATTTAAACCTTTAATCTTTTTTTTTCTTAATACATAAAAATAAAATTTCGAACCAATTGGTCCATCTTCCAAGTTCCATTCATATATTTTCCATTCACCATAAATTTTAATATCAAAATTGTCTGAATTTCAATCGCTTCATCATCTATTAAAATAATTAAAACAATGAAGAAAAAAAATTTTACTACGTTTAAAATAAATAGTGTACTATTATAAGTCAGTTTCTTCTAATTAATTTTGTATTTCCAATTCATTAGGACTGAAAAATATATTATTGGAATTTGAATATGGTCCAATTGGTTGACAATTTTGTTATTATGTATTAATAAATTATAAAATTTGAACAATTAAATATTCTTTGAGGATTAAATTTTACAGTAAACTCGCTCTCATTCTGTCAATAGAATTGGTTAAGAAATTTTCGATTCACTTTTTAAACAGTAATATTATAAATGTTTGTTAAAAAATTACATAAAATTTTATTTATTTATTTTTGTTCTCAAGTACAAGGCCATTTGACCACCTATTGTTTTTATTTTCTTTAGAATTTTAAGGATGATAGATATGATAAGATGAAAGATAGTTTCAGTCAGCACTATTATTAACACCATTATTTTCATTATTATTGACCATTATCATTCATTATTATTGACACCATTATCAAGTCTTGTTTTGTACTTCATTGGCAATTCCTATGTCAACATTTATCTTCATTGGTTTTCTCTAAGAACAGATACATTGTGTTATTTTGAAAAAAAAACATAAGTTATTTTTTTGGTTTATGTGGAGAGACAGAAAAAACTATAAAGATCAAAAACCATTAGATTTTAGTCAGTCTCTCCATGTAAACCTAAAAAAAAACTTATGGTAAACACACCTTATGTTTTTTTTTTAAATTAAATAATAGCCTGTGTTTGTTCTTTATTAAAACAAATAAAGAATAATGTTTACTTATGTGGATTGTCCATGAAGTACAAAATAAGACTCAGTAATGGCTCTAATTCTGGTTGAAACATCATCTTTAAAATTATAAAATAAATAGAAACAATTATCAAATGGCCTTGTGTTTGAGAACACCAATAATATGAAATAAGGATAGAAGTATACAATTTTATTAATACACAATTATATTAATTCTGCCATGCTCTAGGAGTCCTTGTACTCCTTAATATTATTAAATAATAGTAGTTTTATAAGATTTTTACCTATTCACTTCTTTGACGAAGAACTGTTAAAATCAATTAATGATCGAATTGTTGAAAATAGCTTATACAATATAATCAAGGTACTGGTAATTTTTAATATTTTTTCTGAATTTAATTTTATTTTATTTTTTTTACAGACTAATGAAACTGTACTAACAGACTTGTCTCGTGACCACGTTTATGAAATTGTCGTAGCAGCTTTTAACTCTGAAGGAGTTGGACCCTTGAGTAGACCAATAACAGTTTATGTTGGAGAAGCAGTGCCTACCGGGCAGCCGCTTCGTGTTAACGCAACCCCAGTTTCACCAACTGAAATTAAACTAACTTGGGTTCCACCGCAAAGCATCAGTCAGAATGGTGATCTCCTTGGTTACAAGGTAAAATTTGTTTTTGTTTTTTTTGCCAAGATTTATATATATATAGTATATAAACAAATAAAAAACTTTATTCTATAAACTTTTGGGCTTCCTTGTCTAATATTAAATCTTTCCAGATATTTTACCTCATGGTAGAATCTCCTCAAGAACTCGGACCAGATGAAAAAATTGAAGAAGAAACAGAAGTTGTCCCCGCTACTTATACATCGCATAGTCTTGTATTTCTGGACAAATATACAACATACAGAATACAGATATTAGCATTTAACCCTGCTGGTGATGGTCCTAGGTCTGCTCCGGTAACAGTACGAACTTTTCAAGTGAGTGAAATTTATTTATTATACACGATAAATATAATCTACATATAATATGGTAGTACAGATGACTTTTTCGGTTATCATGAGCGATGGATTTTGATGATTAAGGTATCTAATAAAAGGGTATTTCATGGAGAAGTGACAAATTCCAATTTCAATCATTAAATTCTTACATCTTTATCAAGAATTCTTACATCTTTACATAAAAGTCAGTATCAAAATGAGGCAAATTGTGATTTAAAGATTTCAAGGTGTACATCAAGACCTAGTATAGTACTTTGTAACTATACCCTGCCTTTTAAGGCCCTAAAATGTACCTTTTTTTAGATAAATTGTAATTCTTATCCTCTTAGAAATAGAAAGAAATAGAAAAATAACTTTATTCTGGGACACAGTCCCTTGAGAATAACAAAATAGAACAAAATTAAAATATTACATCTGGCCAAAATAAAATAAATCGAAAAAAAGAAATAATGTAAAAAAAATATAAGGTAAACATTCTATATACAAAACAAACTAAACTATATACAAAACCATTAATACTATGACAAGAAACTTAAAGCTATTTGCTCTTATAGACCAGTATACACTTTTCCAAAAAAAAATAAAGAATTAAAAAATAAAAATGTATCAAATTCTCTATTGAAATCCGCTCGAATGGTTAGCAAGTTTCTGACTGTTTTTGTGATAGGAATTGGAATAGGAGGGATTTGAATGTGGATATGGAGGGGGAATGTCGAATTTTGATAGGGAGGAAATTCCAGAAATTGACAGAGCTAACAATAAAGGAATTTTGGAATGAGGCAGATCTGTGAGAAGGCATGTAAAGGTCAGAAGGTCGAGATCTTGTGGACAGGGAATGGACTGAGGATTTGAACTGGAGAAGGTTGTAGGCGTAAGAAGGACGATGGTTGTTGATGATTTGGTAGAGGAACGTACCTAGAAAGTATTGTCTTCGGAAGTATTGTCTTATGTTCCATGGTTGCAATGGGATACTTATATGTCTAGGTATTAAAAATTACAATATTGCTATTTATTATAGTCTTTGGGCAAACTTGAGCACTGTGGATAATATATTAAAAAACTTTTAATATGACAGACATTTTTAATAATAAAAAATAAGTTATTGAGGTATAGTTTCTATATTCTCAATAATATACTTCTATTATTTTAATAAGTAAGATAATTAAGGCTCTTCTATGTCAATCAAATAGGTCTTGAGCAAATACAATAATGGATTTGTATAAGTTCAGGGATAGCTATGTCTTATTGTCTAACTGTTAAACTGAGGGAGGGGGAGGAGGAGGGGAAGAGAGTGGATGCGTGGGCTAATGAGCATTCAAAACACTTGTTGCTTGGAAAGTTGATTATTAATCCCCTGCCTTCTTCTCTAGTCTGGAAAAACCCTGTATAGCCAAAAAGGTTATCATCACTATCAATCGGCTCTGCAACCTATAGCTGGATCCTGGCCTCCTCAAGAATCGTTAATTCGGTCAAGTGCTGCTGTCCTTCAGATTCGACAAATTACCAAGCAGATTTATCGAATCTTCACTTACACCCATATCAACTCATCATAATTTGGGGCGGCCTCTTGCTTATTTTTCATGTAATTCTTCATCAAGAAGTTTCCTAGGAATTTCTTGTGCTTCCATTCTGGCCACATGACCCAACATGTTATGAACAAACATGTTTTGCTGATGTCATTTATACGTTTGCATGCATTAGGGAGAAGGATAGCTATCACTTGGCTATACTTGTTATATTTAATTTTTTATGTAAAAAAATTAGTGTTTTAAAATAATATTTGTATCCTTCATTGTTCCATTAATCATTTTTAGTGTTTTTGTAATCAAAATGTAACTCAAACCAATTTCTACATTTTTCAGGGACTACCAGGACCACCTAGAGATCTGAAATTTTCTGAAATAACTATGACCAGTCTTATCGTAACATGGGAACCTCCAAAGAAGAGGAATGGAGAATTAGTGGGATACATTGTGACATATGAAACTGCTGAAGAAAATGATAGTATGTATTAAATTAAAAATTATAGATTATGTACCGACTTTCTCATTACTGATTATAACTGTTTTATTCTCTTCTAGGATTTAGTAAGCAGGTTAAACAAAAGGTCTCTGAGCCTCGATTGGAAGTTCAAACTCTTGAAGAGGAGGTGACTTATACTTTTGCAGTCCGTGCAGAGACTATAGACATCGGACCAGCGATTAAGGCGAATGTGACCACTGGACCTCAGGAAGGTTCACCATCAGCTCCTAGAGCTTTCACTCTCGGCAAAACTGTGTCCAGTGTCGAAATGCATTGGGTCAATTCTGCATCTGGAAGAGGACCAATATTGGGATATTATATTCAAAGCAAGAGAAAAGGTAAACAACTCATTATTCAATTCTTACCGAATGATCACTTCCTCTTTATATTAAAGCATGGGTATAGGTTATAATTCAACTTTAATTTTACACATTCTTTTCACTGTTAATTTCATATCCAGAGATTGGACTTTTATGCAAATACATATTTAGTTTAACTGTTTTAAAGCATTGAATCAATTTTTATTTCACATACTTCTGGATTAATTCATGTAAATGTATATTTTGATAAAAAAAAAAAAATAAATAAATAACCTTTTTTCACAAAATAAATAGTAGGTATATGAGCCTAAATGTCCTTTTTTAATGTGCAACCTTGATTATTTTTTATTGCAAATGTCCTGAAAAAAATAACAAAACAAGTTTTAAACAGGAAACTGACAATTGAAAGAAAATAATAATAGAAAATTTAATCCATTGATAATTTAAAAATGCATTTCATTTAAAAATTTATAGTTTCTGCCTTCTTCATTTCCATCTACAGTTATTTATGAACTGTTCTATTTTTCATATTATTCCATTCGGTTTTGAGTAATATTTTTAAATATAATCATATTTTTAGTATAAAAATCTGGTCTCTGGTTATAAAATATCGAATGACATTTAATGGTTTTCTGCACATCTTTTTTAACTATTATTTATATCTCAAATTTCTTTTTATAATCTTAAGATTTATCAACAGGTGCATTCATTTTATTATTGAAATATATTATAACCAATGCATACTGTAAATTTTTATCTTAAATGATTTAGCTTAAAAATTTAAATGAAATTTTTAATTTAGCTATATGGAAGATTAAAATCAATTAATAAAAATATACAATAACAAGCTTTGTACCTCTATATACTTTTTTATTATTTTAAAATATTGAAAATAACATTCAATTAGCGTTAAAACAATCCTAAAATATACATCTAATCAACTAAATTATCCAAGATTAATTATGGCATTAAACATGTTCTTGACTCTTGAATAAAATAGGTTCCAGATGAAGCAGTTACATTTTTAATAATATAACTTATGTTTTATTTATTTATTTTTTTGGGATGCAAAATATTCAACAAAGTTTTCGCTTAAGTTTTTTGGTTCATTAGTTTCAATAACTGAAATAAACCCATATAATCAACCAAGAAAAAAAAAGTTAACCCTCTCATAATTTGAGGTTTTAAATTTTAAGATACACAGAATCTGAAAGTCAAATAAAAAAATCTACCAACACACTGGGCCAGTAGTTTTGAGATTAGGGATTAGCATCATGGATCACCCAAGGAAGATCCTCAGAAGTCAACATGAATAAACCTTTTGTTTCAAAATAGCGGCAAAATAACCTATAACACTACAGACTGTAGAGCCATAACACCTATTATGATTTTAATGAAGCTTTCCTAATGTGTTCTTGAAACCTTAATATTAAATATTGTCAAATACTTCACTGAAAAACGACTGAAAAAAAAGTTACGATGAATGCAGAATTTTATTTGCAAATAACTCAATAAGTATACAGTTTTTGATGATTTGATAAGTAAATATTTCAAAGGTAATCAAATTCCGTAATTGGCAAAAAAATAGACGAAACCCTTGAACTATTAGTAAAGATATAGCGTTTTTAAACTATTTATGGCTTTAATAAAGAATCTTCGTAATGGATGAAGAAAAAAGTTAAGCACCCTAAAATATAAAAAGCCTATCGACTTGCTGTTCATTGATTTTTATTAATATTTTTGAGATATCAGGGAGGAATTTTACTGTTGAAATGTTTAAAAAACAGTTTTTATTTTAATTTTTCTTATTTTGTTGTGATTATCAACTAAGATAGTGTTTTGAAAACTTTTCTTAACATATTTATTGCATTTTCAGCTATAGAAGGTTGGCACTGGTGTAAGTTTCAATTTTTCTTATAAAGCACATGTGTACTAACCCAAGTTCAATTAATTATCACTAAAATGCTATTTGTTATTTAATAATGTACTTGTTTGAGTACAAAGTGAGTATATGTTGTGAATTTGTTTGTAATCATGTTCTTACCCTTGAGTTGACATTAAAGCTTTTTATTTTTTAAAAAAACTAACACCTGTTGCTTATAATATAAAAACACATTTGAACTAAGAGGTTTTATCATTGTTTTGTTATTGTTAACTGCCTTGTATTGTAGCTAATTAAAATTTTTTTAAAAAATGTTATAATTGAAGCGATTAGGTTGATATAGTTCTTGTATTGTTTTGTGTTGTAGACATAAATATGTATCTTTGGGTGTTCTTTATTATTTCATAGGAATAAATGAACATTTAGTTTTTCAAGATTGTATTATAGATTTTTTTACAATTTTAAAAATATAATTAAAGTTAAATTGTTGGTTTCCTTTAATACAATATGAGTTCTATTTAAGCATGATACCAGCTATATTTAATAAAAATACTGGCTTAATTAGTATATTTACCTTATTTATTATTCTCATTATGAATAACTATACCACAGGTGGAGAACCTGCGGCCTCCGTTTGTTTTTGTGTGATATTCATAAATCTAGCCCTAAAATTCATTAATATTTAATATTTAGGTTATGAAATTAATAAATTAAGTTGAATATATATATAAGGGTGCATATTTACTTATAAATAAAAATAGCAACAGTAAAATCTAAAAAAAATATTGCAGCCTCCATTATCACTGACTAACCTTATAGCTGCCTCTAATCATAAAAAGATTCCCCACCTATGAACTATACAATATTAAAAAGAATCTTACTATCAAAATTTTAAAACTTTGGTGAATTGGTTGAGCGAGTTCTATATTGTTCTACTTAACAACCCTTGTTCAAAGCCCACTAAATTTTCTGTGGACTGAAAATTATTACACTTTGTCAAGATTAGATAGAGGGTTCAGCAGACACTTCTTGTACTCAGTCAATCTTGTAATGAGTTCTTGACATTAACAAGGGAATTAATCAGGCAACTTGAGCATAGTATTGACCTCACTATCTCCTAAGAATATCCTAAGGTCACGAATCAGACATTTCTATTTACATCAGAGGCTGTTTCAGGATTGATAAATTTATTAAGAAATAAATTTTAATCTTTTTTGATTTTTCCAAATTTTAATTGCAAGTATAAATATTAAACTATTCCTTCTTTATAATTTATTTATTAAATTACTTAAAAATTGAATATGTTTATAAACTACCAAAATTTTATTTTTAAACTTGAAATCTTGGATGTTTTGCTCGTATTGATTAAAATAATTGTCTTTTTTAGATGATACAAGATGGACCACCGTGACTAGAACAGGGAACGGACCCCTTCAAGAATTCAGTGTTTCTTACCAAAATTTGCTCCCCTCCACTGCATATCATTTTCGATTGATAGCTTACAACAAATTTGGAATAAGTTATCCTGCTTATTCTGAGGATGTGGTAAGATACTTTTATTTAATAATTTTCAAAGGCTATTTTATAAATCCTTAAGTTAATATTGAAAATCCTTGATCATGGTGTCACTGAATTTCTTTATAAATATATTACCATCTAGAAAAATGGTTTTCTTGAACGCTGGTGAAATTTCAATCATAAGTAGATTCAACAGTACCCACAGGAGGGTTTTGTGGCGCAAGTTGAGCCATAAGAATTTTTGGGGTTAAGTTTTCAATTTTAAGAAAACATTTAAACCAGAAAAAAAAGTTACTCTTGAAGTTTGAGTGTATATAAAAAAATATCTAAGAGTGCCGCATACTAGTGCAGATATGACTTTATCCTAAGTACCCAACACAAGCGGAGCAATGTATTCTGTATTTTCAGTTTAAACATTAACTCAAAGGACACCACTTGTTTGAAATATTGTGGTGTATCTTGTGTGTATATAATAAATACAAATAATGCCTTATTTTTAGCTATAGAACACGGAAATAAATTTAAAATAACGCAGCAAAAAATAAAAAACTTATGAAATATTATCATCAGTGACTGGTCGTTTCGACATTCTAAAAGGAACTAATTAGAAAATAAAGACTAATTTATCCATCCTCAAATTTATTGCCCCCTCCCCCTATTTTAAAATTATATACCCCATTTTGACAACGCACTCGCAATAATTTCAGATGAAATTCTTATTTAAAAGGAAAAAATATTTTAAAACAAAATAATAATGAATTCTTGGCATGGCTATAGGCAGAGAAGGGTAGAGGGGGAGCCGTTGCCTCCTCTAAATATTACTGATGGTACTTGTTGATTTTACTTGCAATGTATTGTGCCTTTAATATTCTTGAGAAACAAACCAATATTATATCTACTATCTTTTAAACTAACACTGATATTACATCTCATATAGCTACATATTAATTAGATAAGTGAGGGGGGCAATAATATTTTTTTGAGGGAGGCATACGCCATTAACCTTGGGGGGGTGGGCAATCCCGAGTAGATTTTTACATACTTTGCATCCAAGGTATAAAACACAAATATGCTAAAATATATTATTTCATTTCATCATATGCTAGTTCATCATATATATTAGTATTATCATATATCATAATGTCATCATATATTAGTATTGTAGATGAAAACTGCTAAAAACAGTTTACACTATAACAGTCACATTGTAACTCATTTAAAACCATAATCAATATTTTTTCTTATCCTGCACAAAAATATAAATTGATTGGTATGTAATAATATAAAAATCCAAACAAAGCAAAGCCAAAAAGAAATAACATACATTTTTTTAAAAATTAAATACATTTTTTTTTTCTCGCTTACCACATGTTTAATATTTTTTGATGTAGTATCACTGAAAAAAATTTGGTTGAAATCGGTGACCCATCGATTGTAATGTTTCCTTGTTAGTGGTTTCTACTTGTAATTCAACAATATATTTAGGCATATTTACATGTTATATAGCTTTAATGCAAAGTATGTAAAAATCTATTTATGTCTGAAATTTCACAAAGACTCGAGAAAAACATATCTCTGGATGGTAATATATTTATAAAGAAGTGTTCCTGTGTAAGTCAAAATTAATAATTTCAAAGTTTTCTTACCTCTAAAATTAGATTTTTTTGTATGCTTATATCTAAAATGAATCATTTCTTCTGATCAATTGTAGGTTTTGACTCCATCAAAGTTATATTTAGAATATGGATATTTGCAAATGAAACCATTTTATCGACAAACTTGGTTCATGGTGGCTGTGGCTGCAGGATCAATAATTATAATAATTATGGTCATAGCTGTTCTCTGTGTAAAAAGTAAAAGTTATAAATATAAACGTAAGTAAATCTTTTTTTTTTATATCATCTTTTAATGTTGTAAACTATTGAAATGCATAAAGAAAATTGTGTTATAGAAGAGGCCCAGAAAACACTGGAAGAATCCATGGCAATGGACATTGATGAACGTCAAGAATTAGCTATGGAAGTGTACCGTGGTAAGAGGACTGGAACTTTGGGTCGCGGCGTTGGCCCTGTGTTAGGCAAATCGCCTCCTCGCCCATCACCAGCTTCTGTTGCCTATCACAGCGATGATGATAGCCTGAAAGCGTATGATGAGAACCCCGATGATAGTAGCCTCACCGAAAAGCCGTCTGAGATTAGCTCTACTGATTCACAGGTATGTTAACCCTATAATCAAGAAGATTTTACTCATGAAATGGAAAGTTGAAATCTTAAAGGTTTATATTATTTAACTCTTAGGACAATCCAATAATATTTTCTTTGCTTCTTAATACAATAAACCTGGATGAAGGAATGCTCATTATATTGTTTCTTTATTGTAAAAAGCCATGAAGTACATTTTTGATGGAGCTGAACTTTTAAGAATGTTTTTGTGAATTTTGAACTTATTTATAAATAAAAAATAGTAAGAGCACCAAAATTACACAAATTTGTTTGTATATTAAATATAGTTACAAGTGCACTAATTTCTATTTTCACAAAAAAAAATTTCATCAATGTTCTAAGTAATTTAAGGTTATAAAATTTTACTAAATGACTTATTGCAATAAAGCTATGATATGTTTTTCAGGTTATTTTGATTAATAACTACAAATAATTTTATATTGCTATTGTTACCAAAGGTCTAGCAGTTGACTCAAATAAAATACACTCCTTCACTTCATAATACACATCAAATAAATTCACAGTAATCTATTTTATCCATTATTGCAAACAATTTAGCCTTTACACTAACAGAACACTGATAACAGTTCACAACTAAAGTTTGTTATAACTGACTAATCTTCAGAACTAACTTTCATTGCAACAAACTGACTCTTCCTTATTTAGTCACAGATCATGATAAAATAATTCCAGAAACTTTGATGCTGCGTCTTTTTCGAATATTGTTAAATCTTTTTAATTGAGTGATATCTAGATTTTTGTACACACTGTTTTTAAAACTTAATTGTTAATGTTATAAAAGTTAAAGTACTTTAAATTTAAACTAAACAAATATTGAAAATATCTAAATTTCAGTAAATATTGGTAAAATCACTCGTATGCCTAACATTTTATACATGTACTTTATTATTATAAAACATTTCTTATAAGAGATGTTAATTTATGGTATTAAGCAGTGAAATCCTCCAAATCTCATATTTCATGTTGTTCTTGTTGACAAAACCAAGCACTTTTAATTTTAATTGTTTTTAATTATCAATTTCCATTAGCGATTAAAACAGTGACATTTATAAATTCATTGTTGATTTCATAATGTTATACTTGTAAATATATCTTAAATTTTATAGCAAGTTTATTGTATACCCATTTAGTTTAGTGATTATGAATTTTTAAGTTAATATAATTAATTATTTTTTTTTTAGGGGTCAGAAAGTGAAAATGAAAGTGTCCGATCTGATCCTCACAGTTTTGTGAATCATTATGCCAATGTAAATGATTCTCTGAGGCAGTCGTGGAAACGTCAGAAACCCGTTCGAAATTACTCCAGCTATACAGATTCAGAACCGGAAGGCTCTGCAGTCGTTAGCCTTAATGGCGGTCAGATTATAATGAACAATATGGCGCGCTCGAGAGCACCACTTCCTGGATTCTCTTCTTTTGTATAATACCCACTCGGTAAAGTGGAAGAGGAGCCCTCTGAGGAAATAGAGGAAAACCCTATTGTTACTCGATTTTAACGCTCTTTCCACTTTACCGGACCTAATTTGATGGTAAATAACATTGATATTGTACAATATGTAAATAAATTTATTTGATGATGTATTTGGGACGCGACGGTCAGTTTTAATGAATAGATAGAAAAAAACTGACTAATGGTCCTTTTTAATATGATAAGTCTATATGTATTGTAGTCATTTGGTGGAAATGTTATAGCATATAAGGGATGGACCTTTGTTTTATAAACATGACTACTTCATTTAGATTTTTAAGTATAGCTAATGCTGCTGAAATGCTTAATTAAGTTTAGCGATTTCTGTGATAATTATTCATTCAAAGAAATATCCATTTCATTTTGTTTTATTTTTATTGAAATGTTTGTTTCTTAGAAAAAAAAAGACACGATAATTAGAATATCTGTAGCCAATATGAAACTTAATTGACCGTAATTATTAATGATTTGAAAATATTTTCTTTGCTTTAGTAAATTTATTTTATCACAGATATTGTTCAAATCATTTTCATAATCTATTCTGAAATTTTCATTAGTCAAATGATTTAAGGATCAGCTTCATTTCTGGTTGAATTCCATTATTGTTATGCGACTTTCTATTATTTTTATTTTCAATGAACTATCATAATTTTGATCAAATAATTATAATTTGAATTATTAATTAATCTTGATGCTAATGAGAAGTTAACATGAACATATGTTTTAAAATAACATACATTTTACATTCCAATATTGAAAATGACAAGAATAAATATGAGTTAAAAAAAAAATTCTGATTATAGAATTCTGATGGTGTTATTTAAATTTACATTGATTGTAAAAAAAATTGTCTCCCGTTAATCATTACATTAATGAGTATAGGCAGTGGGGATTACATAGTGATTATATTTAGATTTTCCACATTGCTTTACAAATTTTAAGCTTTTATGAAAAAAAAAAAAAGTATTTTGAATGAAACATAATCTGCAATTAAATTTCGCTTTACTATGCTTATGTATAATTTATTGTTGACTAGCGACTTTTCTAAAAATGTTACTCGTGCTAAAACTCTACCAATATTCTTCCAGGAAATGAGTTAAGGCAGGGGTTCTCAACCATGTGCCTTTGGGTGCACATGGGCCCGTGACAAGTTGTTTAAATAATGAAAAAAATTAAGTTTTTTAATTAAAGAAAATAAAAAATTAAATTAATTTTTCATTGTTAGTGAGATATTTGCTAAATCTGTTGTACTGAATGGTGTTTTTGTAATATCGTGTATTAATAATGTCGTAATAGTTGTCACTTTTTCATCTAAACTTGTCACACCTGTCAGATATGCTCAGAAGAGGGTGGCATGTCGAAAGTTGTTCCATCAAAATTTTTGAGGGAGTCTTATTTTTATGGGGTTATTAATTTTTGAGGGAACTTTCAACCAAGGAAAAAAACATGCAACAGACCATATCAAGTGTCATAGTAAATAAACTACATGTTTTAATAACTACTTTCACTTGCACAATTTTCAAGAAGAAGAGAGAAATAATATTTCTTAACAGAGAATTTGCGGTATTGCCGTTAGAGGAATGGTTACTTCTGCTCTATATTATTGATGCTTTTTTTTTTTAAGTTATAGTTATTTTTTATTTGGTAAATACTTTAGCAGAGTTCTCTTTTAAGCTACCAATATGATTAATATTTAATATTAAGAGTATTGTACTTAAAATTACGATAGGTGCTTATTCCCTTTAAGGGCAATTTTAATTCAACTTTCGTAGTAAAAATATTATACATAATAGTAAATATGTGTAACAAGAAGTATGTTATAATCAACTTTTTTAATTTATTTAAAATTTAATTGCGCCCTTTATTATTTTTACAACCTCGAATATACCAATGACACAAAAGGGTTGAGAACCCCTGAGATAAAGCAATGTAATCCAAATCCAATCTAGATTTTTATATAGAATATTTATCGAAAATTTAAAAATCTTTTTTTTTCTTTTTTCAAATTGTGTACAATCTCTAAGTAGCTAAATTATTAAAATATACTTTTCCACTTTCGTTAAAACATTAATAATTCTTGCAATAGAAAAATGTTTTATTTATTATTTTAAAAATTTCAGCTGATGCTGCTACGTTTTTGAAAAAGATAGAAAATAACTTTTGATACATATTTAACCAATTAAATATCACTTTCTATCTTATCATTTGTCCTCTAGTTAGTTTATTCCCACTTATAAAACATATAAATTTATTTATTTATTTTTTTGTTTTATTAATTAATTTTGAAATTAAAACTCAAATTCACCTAATTCTAAAATTGTTACACATCAATAAAACATTACTTAAAATATCAAGTTATATGAATATTTAAAGAAAAAACATGAAATAACTTATAAATTTATCTGTTTAAGATGGATATCTTAAAGGAGAAAGAAAGCCTATATTTTAACTGCTCTTTATAGCATTTATGAGTTGTGTCTATAAGTCATAAACCATTTTACTTATTCAAATTTATTATACTGAAGTATAACAAAGCCACTAATTTTTTTAAATTATATTCACCTCAAGTCTAATACTGCATTGATCCAGCAAATTTATAAAGAGTTACTTTAATAAATTTCTAGTTATAGTGAAAGACAAATGTGAAAGAACTTACATTTTGATTGTTTTAAAGCTCATACACATAGAACACAATCTGTTTGGTAATCTGCCATCCTTTTTTCTGTATCGCTGCTGATTATCACACTCTGTGTGATTGTGATTCTGGAATAAAAAGTAACACAACTATATCAAATCACCATGGATAGTGGTGTATCATGTTCTGTGTGCACAAGCATTAAACGTGACAGGAATGTTTATTCTGATAAAAATTCATAATTAATTCACATACATACAGGCAAAATCACTCTTATTAGATGTGGGATCTAATCCAATAAAATTTTTTAATTCAATATGTGGGGTACAAAAATGAATAATAACTTTAATGATATACTTAGAATAGCTAATCACTACTCTAGAAAAATTTGTGAAAACAAACCAGCACCAAATTGTGTTTAATAATTTATTGATTTTTCTTGACGTAGTTATTTGTTATTTATCAATTTCATTTCTCTAACATAATTTTTTTTTCTTGCAAACAAAAAAATAATTGAAAAGTTTACTTGCTAATGCAGAAATAAAAATTTAAAAGTTGTTTTGATTTTTTTTTATTATCGATTAATCATCAGTTCAACTTAACCCGTATTCATATAGATAATTCTACTGATTATATGAAATATATGTAAGTTCTTTACTATTGTATCCTCTGTCTCCTTAAAAAAGAATTCCCTTGGGTTAATTGCCAGAATAAGTTAATTTTATATAAAATATTACAAGAACCTAATATCATTATTTTGTTAATATATTATACAGATACTTCTACAGTTTATCAAATGGTTACGACTTATTCATACAACTTATAAAATAAAATATTTCTTATTTGAAGGATTTAAGAAAGGTTGTGACTTTCTTTAGTTTATTTCTCAACCCACTTCCAACATATCTAAATCTTATAAATTCGAATATTTTTTTGGATGGTGCCATAACCAGTTCTAGAGATGTAGTAATAGTTCACTATTGACCTGAATGTTGCCTGTTTTTCTTATTGGAAACAGGCAACATTTGGATAAATTATGAGATATTTTTCAACATTTTTCATATTTGTAACCTTTTTTTTAAATATTTTAATGTACCATAAATTTATAGGATCTGCTTTTGAAATTTTTTATCATTCAGGAAAAATAATTATTTAAAAAAAAATGTTGATTTAAAATTGAATAAAAAAAAATTGTTACTTCAAAATTGAATAAAAAAAATTGTTAATTTAAAATTGAATAAAAAAATTCTTCTTAATGTATTTACCTGTTATTTTACTTACATTTTATTACCTGTTCTTATATATTTGTATTTTTTTTTTGTTATTTTATAGTCTAAAGAAAAATGTAACTTATTAATGAATTGCTTCACATAGATTGTTGATCGGTGGAATTTTGTTAGTTTTAAATTTATGTACATTTGAAAAAAGAATAACCCATCTAAAAATTAAAAATTTAAAAAACTCTAAGGATGGGATACATTCCTGAAACATTAACATCATGGATATTATGTGAAATATGACTTTGACATATTATAATGGAAATTTTAATTGTCAACCTTATAATAAAATTGTTCTTACTTTTACATAAATAATTATGCCAAAGTGGACAATTGTTAATGTTTTTGGTTATGCTTCTAATGCACCAATATATAGAATTATAATATAGTTAATTTTTGAGTTTTAGTCATCTTCCAATCTAGCAATTATGCATTTAATCATAATCTTTAGTAATTATGTATAAAAAAAAATTATTTTATTATTATTATTATTATTGGTTATGTACCAATGAGATAGGTATTTAAAGTTAAAATGTTATAATTTTTTTTAATTTAGAGAAATTGTATTAGATGTGAGTAAATATCATGAATTTTCATTTAATAATTTCTTTCTTCATTAAACAATTAAGATTTATCGAAACAGAGCGAAGTAAGTTACAGATTAAATTGTGTTTTTAAAGTATTCTGACAAAATGTGACTGATGCACTTTCTGTATGAAGCAATTCAACAATCATGAAAATGACAAATATTAAATTACAATTAGTATCTTACAGATATGTAAAGACTATGAATTTGTGTAATTTATTATGTTTATGAAATAAGAAATACAAACTTGGTGTATTTATGAAAAAATATATATATGAATTATTGTTGTTAAGAAACGGATTTTGTAAATAAGATTTGTAAGACTGTAAATAATTATTGTCAAAATTATTTTATAAATAAATGTTGTAGCTGTAAGTGATAATAGCTAAGGAATATTAGTTTTGGTCTAGATATGTTGTAAATAAGAAAATAATTGAAATGATAAAACTACATTGTCTTTCCAGTAATAAAGTTGCATTTATAAGTAGCAACTTGTGGAAACACTCTTATGCAAAGTTCTGTTTATGAAAACATGTATTTGGTCACTAAATTGACATCAGAAAGTATTATAAATACGAATTTTTGTAAAATTGTTAAGATCTACTCGCTAGAGTATAACATCACTGAATAGAAATCGGGCACATTTTAGGTATTTTTACTTTAATTTTTGATAATAATGAATTTTTTTCATGCTCTCTTCAATACAAAATCAGTTATTATAATATTTAAGATGATAATAAGAAAATTGACTAGTTTAATTTCACATTTTGGTGATTATATAAAAACTAATTAGAAGAAGGATGTGTGCATTACAATGTTTACGCAAGTCATAATTATTCGAAATAGGATTTAAATTTATACTTAAAAAACTGTGACTTAAATAAAACTCCAAATTGTGGAATGACACTGTGATGGTGTAACTGCATCATTTGTGCAGTAAAAAATATTGGGACCTCAAAACTTCTCTGTGCAAGAATGACATATTTTTACACTCTTTAGGAGGAAATTTGTTAAACAATTTTTTAAATTATTTCTGAATAAAATTTTACATTATTCATAGAACTTAAATTAAAAGGATTATAGACTCTTATTCCCCTTTCCTTGTTTAATTTTTTAAAATGAATAATTTATTATGAAAGCCTCTGCCATTTCAGTTTGAATACTGAAACTTGTAACTGTTTACCGAATTGCTTAATGTGTTCATTTTAAATATTTGTATTTAGTTTTACATAGTATATTTTTTAATTTTAAACGTGTTTATCATTTCAGTTTGATTCTCACTAGCATATCATGTGTAATCAGTGTTATTAGAATTAAAAATAAAAGTCTGAAGGTAATTAAAACAAAATATTTCTCAGATTTAGATATTTAAGAAAATCATGACTGAAGTAATTCTATGATTACTATGGTGCAAACTACTCTACTATTGTTATTGTAAAATATTTTATTTGTATATATTTTGTTACTTTTAATTAGTTAAATGTAGAAATCAGTTTACTGACTTCAGTTGTAAACATAGTCTTTTCTTTTCCATTAGTTGTATAGATTGTTCCAGAATTTTCTTTATTTAACCGTCCAGATGTACATTAAACTGAATAAGTTATTTAATTTTTATATTATTTTTTTTTTGTAATGTAATTTGGAACATAACAATAATAAAAAATGATTTACTGTGTAAAATTAATATTTTTGCATACAAATAATAAGTAATAATAAAATATTCCCTCCTCACCTACTCCATACACTCTCAGCTACATATGATAAAAAAATTCATAATTAAATCTTATTCAACATCAAATTTCATGATTGAATCTGTTTAAAAGAGGATAAATGACATTTACATAGAAAGTGGTCAGTTATCAATGTCATTATTTATAAATTATCTTGACTAATAATTTCACATCTGCACCTCTAGGACTAATCAAGAATCTTGGGCTCAAACTTTGCTAGGAAGTATTGTTTCTTGGTCAACGGTGGAGTAGAGAAGTGATTTGACAGAGTTTGCAGCCAACCATCAGTCTTTCCTCCTTAATTAATTAATAATACCCACTTCCTATTGGCTAGCTGTGCCCCAGGAGTGTCTCACAGGATGGATCCACGACAGGTGTAACAGAATAAATAAATACCTATCTCAGACAGACTCGAACCTAGGATTGGAAGAATGAGAGTACAGTGACTTATTTACTAAGCTATCCCACTATATTAATAATAAAAAACATGATTAAAAATAAATGATTAACTTATAGATAATCATAGTTAAAAGTGATAGGTCATATATATTTGAAATAATATTTGAAACATACCAATCATGAATAATCATTTATAAATTGTTTTAATCATCAAACTTTGTTTAAATCCAATCAATGATAAAGTAAGGTATTTACAGCAGATTAATCTTTAAAAAGTCATGGAAAATTTGATTAATCATAAAATTATGTGATTGAATTAAGTAATTCATGCTTAATAAAAATTAAAAAAAAAGGCTTGAAATAATAAAAAGAATTATTATTAAACGTGATTAATCATAAAAAAAAACTATGAAGCAACAATCTTTAATTGTTGAGGGGTCTAAAAGTCTAAGATTGTATTGCAAGATGTCCATCATGAATTATTTTGTGTGAATGCTCATCTTGCTTGGTTCTGTGAAGGTTTTATATGATTTCTTTGAGTTGTATTTAATATTAATTTCCTTGGTTTATCATTTATTTAATTTAATAATTTAAATAACTCGAGAAGAGAAGAAGTAATAATATGCCGAATGCGAATTGGAAACTGTCTTTTCACACACGGATACCTTCTTAGAGGTCTCGAAGTGCCAACCTGCCAAAAGTGTGACAACACCCCTCAGACAATTAAACATCTATTATTAGAGTGTCCCAAATATGAAGAAAAGAGACAAAAATTAAAGCTTTCGACGACATTAAAAGATATTTTGGGAGACAAGGAGGAAGATGTCATCATTCTCTTTCAATATTTATTAGAAACAAAGCACTATAATAGAATATAAAAATCAAGAATTACCGTCAATGACCCTCTAGGGTAGAGGCAAATACAAATTAAAAAAAATAAAAATTTAATAATAATTTTAATTAAATATTATTTTGTTTAGATAAAATTAAACCCCAAAAGTTAATAAATATTTGTTTAAACTAACATGATGAAAGATATACATTATATTTTTTGAAGTGAGGAATTTATTTTTTCTCTCACATTGCATTTTCAAGAGAGATTTATAGGCTTAGCATTATTTTCTTCACATAGAGCACAGATATTGTTGATAGCCTGCATTGCGCAACTAACCCACTTTTTAAGACACTAACTCGACGGGCCGGCCACAGAGCTGGCAAACGCCTCAGACTTGACTAGACTGAGGACTACTAACTAACTGGATTGACATAAGACAACTAGTGAGCCCCTTTACTAGACTAATGACTCACCACCTAGCAATTTTTAAAACCCTTAAAATGCATATGACCAATGCACTACAAGGGACTCCATCTCATGTAAAAAAATCTGGTGTGGTGCGTGCATCACACAACTTTCAATTACCAGCCACTTCTTAGCAGAAATAAGCATTTTAAGACAAAGGAGAAGTGAAAGTAAAAATTATAGATGCTATATTTATTTGTGGGTATTTTTATTTGTATAAGTACCCATATATATACAAATTTTGATATTTATATCGCTGTAATATATTCAATTCAATATTAAATAATACCTACAATAGCATTTATGATAACCGCATATGTATATTTAAATAATATTGTCGGAGTCCGTATTATATTAAGCTCATGTTATGTGTGGAAGCGCGTGTTCTAATCTTCAATTACATCTATTCTCCGATACGATCCTTATTTCTCCTTAAGTTAATTGTAAAATGCTTTCATAATTTATATTTAACTATATTTTATATTAGAGATTAATGTGAAATGGTCAATTGTTTGAAATAAAACAAATTAAAGGTACTTTAGAGGAAGCTAATATTGAAAATTAGCCATTTAAGTCCTGTTTAGAGAACATCAATCAGAATAAAAACTACATTTTATTTAAAACTGCTTAATTTTACACTTATATAATGAATTTAATCAAGATCGTTGTAGCCGTTTTCGAGAAAATCGTAAAAATGTGTTTAGTCTATGATATAAAGTGCATCTTCCAATTAGACGATTTTAACGAAAAAATTTATGTAACATCCCAAGCATATAAAAAGCTTAAATATGCAATTTCATTTTCGTTCGGCTTTTCGTTTTTGAGCTAGACCGTTAAAACACACACACAGACCATTTTGCGGAACTTTGTTATTTGGACACAGGGGACCTCAAAACGTGTATTTCCGTTGAAAACTGAGATTAGAAAATTTTCCCGATCGGAATACTTCCCTTTACTAAATATTTCATATATATGTAAGTGAAAGTAAAAATGTGAAAATCCCAAACCACTGATCTTTGGGGATAAGAAATAAAAATAAAACATAGAAGACATATTTGTTTGCGACATGAAAAACTAAAAACATTTAAAATTGTTAAAAAAATATATCAGAAACAGCTGTTTTATTTTTTAATAATCCAAGTATTTCCATGAATTCCATTGCTCCGTTTCTTACCCAACATAAGCTATTCTGGAAGCTGTGACGATGTGAACTGAAACTATAATTAAGGAATAAATTCAAGGTCGCCAGTTTGATCTGATGCACATCCAATACTTTGTGTCGTTTAGAAAAAAAAATCTATCTTTCTTTTTACACACAAATAAAAAACGGCAGATTATAATAGAAGCTTCCAATTGTTGTGGCGACCGGTTTGGAGATAACCATCAGGCTACGTCATCAAAACATTTTGATGGAACCAATTTCTTATAAGAAATCACGGGCGGATTTATGGGGGGGAGGCTTTCGGGCTGAAGTCCTCCCCAAAATGGTAAAATATAACTAGGTTTTACGGAAAAAAAATATTAAAAACTATGTCTTAAAGTATTCTTGTTTGTGTAATTATATTGAATAGGACTTCAAGAACCACTTAAACATCATTTCATATAGGTAGTTAGTTTCTTTCTTTTTTTTCTAATTAATTATCGTTATTTTATGCAAAAAAAAATCTTTCGGGCTGAAGCTCCCCCCCAAAATTAAATCTTGGATCCGCTAGTGTAAGAAATGGATCTCTCTTCAATTTATATTTTGATGAAATAGTATCATATATACTAATAATAGTATTATGTATATAAGTATAAATAATTTTGGGTTGATGGTTGACTGTAATAATAGGGAATAATGAAGAGAAGGATGGTTTTTGGTAATTAGTCAAAATAAAAATGGCAAAAATAAATAATAATATTTATTTTAACATTTGCCGACATTTCGACCCGAAGTTCAGGCCTTCATCAGGGCTGATCGAAGCAATCGCTTGAAAAGACTTGAAATATATATACTAGGATGGTAGGTACCCTCTGTCCAACTGACGCGGACCAACCCACATTTTACAAATTATAAAAATGTTAATTTAATTGTACTACTCGTTTCTCAAATTGGATAACTTTAATTTACATGCATTCTGTAGTTCACATTGTATTATTTTTTATCAATAAAAAATAAACGAAACAAAACCACATTTCGGACAAATTTGAAGTAAAAAACAAAACAAAATTGATAACAAATAATCTACATGAATGAATAAAATATGTAAATTAAAATCGATTTAGAAAATAAGAAAAGTCGACTAGCTCTGGCTAAGCTAAAGCTTGCTATAAGTATGTTTGTAACAATTTTATTACGACCTAAATATTCCTAATTATTTAAAATTTCATTTATCCTTGAATAAATAAAAATTGGAAACATATCCTCAGATTTTATGATTCGTTCACCTTTCATGTGGACTCCTCCATTTTCACGCGATTTCCTTATAAATTTTCTATAATAATGTTGGAAAAAATATATTTAATAACTATAAATATAAATATATTTTATAGGGAATGTTTTTTTATACATATTTACATAATTAGTCAGACTGTGAAAACGTTTGAGGTTGTACAAACTAAGAAATAAAAAGTATTTTTCAGTTTTCAACTCTATACATTTTCAGCTCAAAAAGTTTCAGAAACGTACATATGTTATGGAGTCTGTTTCCTTCCTCTCATGTTTAATGTATACAAATTGTAATGTATACAATTGTTTTGTTCAGATATTTTGAAATATATCCATTACCACATAACAAATTCTTACAACTCTCTGAACATATATATAAATTTAGTTTTAAATATCCAATAGTATATTTGTTCGTTTCACAATACTTATGTTGAATTTGTACACATAATATGAAAATTTTTATTTTTGAAGTGATAACTTGCTTAGGCACGTTTTGCTCTTTTTATTGTGGAGAGTGAATTAGATTGAGCCATCAGATCTCCGATGTGTAACGCTCGGGTAAAGTCGGCTGGAGTCGACTAATCGAAGTGTTTTTGCATATGGATTAAAATATTTCAGAAACTAAAATCGGACCTGCGTACTGTAAGCAAGAGAAATGTTCATCCTTTTTGTACTGAGCTATTATTCAAAATTGTATCTTAACGCGAAGCCGTATTAGGGAGTGTAAAGGGAAACAATAGTGTTAAAAACCAAATGATAACGAATTTTATTAAAGATATGGATTAAAATATCTCAGAAACTAAAAATCGGACCTGCATACTGTAAGC